AGGTCTAAGTTTATGTGAGTCCCTCTACCTCTCACAGAGGAACTGTAAAATCTATCACCGTCCCCCACTGCACACAATGTATAGGGATCTGCAGGGATTAATGTGTGCTGGACTCCTGAACCGCTTTCTGGACGGAAGGAGAGGTAATCATGGCTGATTCATTTTAAACATTTTGACACAAAAATCAAGATAAAAATGGCACTGATAATTATAATGCACATATAATGGTGCATATTTAAAAGAAGCCCAGCAGCAATGCAGAGCATCATTATTACACTAGCAGACTCAGTGCTGTAATGAGGCAGTGTACACGAGTCTGAAACCCCCTTGCCCATAACCCTAAGTCTATAACAATTACTTTTCATTGACATTGACAGTGTTTTAGAGCAGTGTTACTCAATATTTTACTGAGAAGGTCTGAAAAACATCCCTAATTATCCCTGCCTTGAGAAAGTAATTTCTATTGATTTAAATTCCAATATTTTAGAATAAATATTTTTTAAATAAATATGACATAATTTAAATATTGTGTATGTAATGACCAGCATACAAACTATTAATCTGAAGTATAAAAGTCACAAAATGAAAATATAATAGTTACACACAGAGCACACTGACACATACAGCTACACACAGAGTACATTGACATTCCGACTTCTTCACCTTCCTTCGTTGGCCTCCTTGATCCCCAATGCTGGTGTGGGAGCTGTAGCAGCCACATGGTCTTTCCAAGATGGAGGTTGCCATGCAGACTAACCACAAGCATGTTTAGAGATGGTAGGATGGGCAGTGGGTGGCATGGAGGTGGATGTCAGGCGTGTGATAAGTCCCTAAGTGTATTTTATGTTCCACATTAGCCCCACTTACAGGGAGGGGGCTTGATCATGTGACAGGGCTACACCTATTTAAACCCAGTGTGTTCCCCCCATCAGTTCTTGGTTGTTCTTGGGCTTCTGCCTAGGCTCCTGGTGTTCCTGTATATTTTGCTCCGCACTTATTACCTGTTGTTGGATCTCCTAATGCTGACCTTGGCTTATCTCCTGACCTTCTTTCCTGCTGCCTGCCTTGACCTTCGACCCTCCTGACAACCATTTTGGCTTCCTGCTTCAGACATCTCTGCCTTGGATTTATTATTCAATAAAGCCTCCCCTCCCCCCCACCCATGCCACTGTAGTCCCAAAAGGACCATGTCTCTACCTGTAGGTCTCCCTTGAGGGTCGTGAATGTAAGAATGTGCTGTTCCACTGCTACTGTTGGTGGAGTTCAACACCACCAACCGACCACTGGTAGGTCATTACACTGACAGATACACACCTGTGATGCGTTTCGTCCAAACCACGTGGGCATCATCTGACGTCAGATATGCGCATTGGTTCCCATTATATTGTTGCAGCTCTCAATTAACTCCACCTCCTGTTGCCTCTGATTCGATAAATCTCAATATACACAGTTGTTCCCCAAACACATTTCTTGTCATTCTCATTTTTACGTTAAATGCTGATTATTACAATAACACTTTATCCCTTCAATCATTTTTTTAAACACTTAGAAACGAGTTTATACGAATTCAGTTCTAAAACCCCGGTTTGAATTATATGGTTATTTCAAAGAAAGTGTTTAGTACCAAGATTTAATAAAAATGGGAAGAAAAAAAAACTTCTAAAAGTGCTTTGATTATTTTTTTTAATTTATAGTGGTATTCTTGAACAATCGGTGCACAAAATTGCTCCTATGGCCTAGCTCTATTTTTTCACTACACATGCCATGCTTATTTTGCACATTTTACTTTTTTCTTCTTTTTTTAAACAAACTCGGCTGTGAATAGGTTAACTGTGATGATATAGGAACCACAAAGCAGTTAACACATTGGCTTCAGGGGATGTGAGTTTGCTGGACACAAAAGAGCCATAAAACAACTTAAACATTTATAATAGCATCCTGAATGACAACCTCCGAGAGACAGAGTAAAGGGAAATTGTGAGACATTTAATCCTGACATGACATAGCTGGATCTTACTGGAAACAACAGAAAAATAACAAAAGTTACTGAAGTTAAAGAAAATTCTAATTACATCCTATGTCTAGCCCACAGCAATATTCACTTACCAGAAAGATACAGTAAGTGCCATTGCATTATCAGATATTGCACAGACTGAAAGGACCCAAGCTATATAAAAAAAAAAACACTAAAGTAAACGTGCATGTCCCACATTGTTTTTAAAAACAGACTCTAGTCATCACGCAGATTGCTAAGGGGTTCATTCTCTACTGCGTTTAACATATTCCCTCTATTTTTTTTGTAGATTTCAGTTGATTGCAGTAAATGTATTAAAGAATATCTGAAGTACATTGCTTGTTCACTGCAGCCTGTTTTCCTCTAAATAATTATAAATAATAATAATAAGCCATTAAATGTTACGTGTATAATTCTATTACCTACAAGTTTGTTTTCAACAGGATTCCTGTCAGTAAGCGTTTCATTATTATTATTATTTTATTATTTATATAGTGCCAGCAAAATTCCGTAGCGCTGTACAATGGGATTGACCACCTCTACTCCCCTCCTGCAAAGCCCCATGTGCATGGTTACTCTCGAGGTGATTTATTTAACTAGTAACCATGAGACGTTGCAAGGGTGAGGGTTGTCTTTTGATGCTGGTCTTAAATCCCAGGTAACCTCTGCCAATAAGGTGCTGGTCCATGCCGTTATCCTCTCTCACCATGACTAGTGCAGTCTGCTTCTTAGTAGCCAGCTGACCTCATTACAGTATATAATGAATGACAAATCAACAAGGTGTTCTGTGTTATTAGGCGCTTAAATGAAGATGCAAAGTGCTCTTAAATATAGCAGCTCTCACACAGAAAATAGGAACTCCCCAATCCTATTATATTACAATGTAAAAGAAAACACTACTTACACAATCAATATGCAAACAGTGAGTGTGCGTAGCGCTTAAAAACAATCACTTACTCCCCGAGAATATATGGGGGTGTAGAGGGTACATAGATAACTGCAAGAAGTGGAAAAATATACAGTGTATTCCAATATGCAAATGGAAATATACACCCTTTAATTAGAAGCACTCAAGTACACAAAAGTGAAAGTGATTAGAGCCAATCCCCAATAGGCTCTAAACCATGTGAGTGCTTCTAATTAAAGGGTGTATACTCCCATTTGCATATTAGAATATACTATATATTTTTCCACTTTTTCCACAGTTATCTACGTACCCTCTATGCCCTCATATATTCTCGGGGAGTAAGTGATTGTTTTTTTAGCGCTACGCACACTCACTGTTTGCATATTGATTGTCTAAATAGTGTTTTCTTTTACAGTATATAATAAATGCAGTGGTCAGGTTCATTTATCTGTCTACCTCCCCCCTAGATTTAAGGTCCATTTAAAATTCTGGTGCTTGATTACAAATCACTACCTAACGCGGCTTATACCTACCTAATCTTTGTGATACACATGTATGTCCAGTCAAGGCCCCTACGCTCTGCCGAAGACCTATGTCTATCCTCTGTTCATACTCGCATCTCTGACACCCTTCATCAAGACTTCCCTAGGGCTGTCCAATTTTTACGGAACTCCTTTTTCAGCTCTACGGTATTAGTCTCTCACTCAGTCTCAGTTCCTTCAAAAAAACAATAAAAATTCACTTCTGTAGGAAAGCATATCAACTAGATTATTTCTCTCCCTGCACTTTGGTAGCCCATCTTGCTTCCTCTCCTGCAACTGTGTCATCCAAAAAAACTAGCCCTTCATGGAAAACTATTCTAGTAATCTACTTCTCCCGTACATGAATTACATCTTACCCTTAACTACTGTACCACTTTACCCCACTCCCTCTAGAATGTAAGTTTGTTCGAGTAAGGCCCTGCTCCTGTGCGTCCAGCTCGTCTTATTACAAATACTTGTCCGTTAGTCCATCTATTGTACAGCGCTCTGGAATTTGTTGGCGCTTTATAAATAATAATAATATATGTATATCTTTAGATTGTAAGCTCACTGACTATCTAACGAAGCACTTTGTACAAAAGAGCTTCAATGGCTAGATCTCAGCATCCTCTTTAGCTTTTGTATTGATCTGTGTATTTTGTATTATTTTGTTTTTGTTTTGTTTGCTTTTTCTTTCCTAATTGTACATCGCTACAGAACATGTTGGTGCTTTATAAATGCCATTAAATATATATATATATACACACACCTTTCTGTTAGTCCAATGAAAAGATATTACAATACAATATGTATATACAGTATACACACACACACACACACACACACACACACACACACACACTGTCTGTCATTTTTGGATGAGCACTAGAGACTCTCCATGGAGCTCATGCCTGGTCAGCCCAGAGGGAAGCAGGAATTGCTGGGTTGTACTTTGATCACTAAAGGCTGATGCTTGTTAGAGACAGATGCTGCAGCAGCAGCTCGCTGGCAGGATTCATTCCTCTCAGCCTGTAGCACACAGACATTTATTATCAGGACTTGCTTTTTTGGAGGCGGCAGAATCAGTGTTCCCTCCTGCCTCAACTGCAATATGAGCTCAGACATCTGATGGTCTGACAGTCAGTCAGTGTGAAGGGTCCAGCTGTGCAGGAGGTCCATTCCAGCCATGGTGGTGCACAGACACAGTGCAAGCTGGCATGGTACAGTATCCCATCAGTGCCTGGCAGATTAGGATACAATGTTGCCATGAGAAAATAGTATTTAAATCTACATGTTGTGACAGTGTCACCTCCTGAGCTAGGCTAGCCTGAGGAATGGGGGGCTCAGTCACTCAGCACCCCTGGAGCCTGCTGGACCCCTGAGGACAGGGATAGGGAGGTGTCTCCTGGGAGCACGGAGTGACTAAGGTGAGGAGGAAATAGTACATTACAGCAGCTGAGACTGGAGGAGGAGAAATCCTGGGTGGGCTGCCTGACTGCCTGCTGGAGACAGGAGGGCGGAGGATGTGCTGTGGACGACAGTAAGGAGCAATCTTTGTGATTTGGCTGTTTGGAGACAGGTGGGGGTTCCTGAGAACATGGCAAGAGGGAGGAGGAGGCTGGATGAAGGGAGCACACAGGGTGGAGAGTTTCTGCTGGGCAGATGTCCTCCTGCCACTGGGAAGAAGAGGCTGCACTAGCGATCCAGTGAGTGATCCAGGCTCCAACTACTGCCTCCAGCTCTCTGCTCTCAGGGGTTTGCCCGAGGCATGAGGGGGCACAGCATGAAGAAGACTATCTTCCTCCTAATAGGGACCAGTCTGCTCCTCTTCTTCATCACCATCTGGCTGACCATAGGAGAGTCCCCACGGTACAGGTACCCTGGCTGCTTACTGCTAATAATACTGCCTCTTGCTGTTGTTGCATCCACTGGTTAAAGTTGTGTGTGTAGTGTCTGCACTGTGCCCTGTCTGTATGGGTTACATTCATGCATGTGCGTATGTTTGTATGTAGGTGTGTATTTAATACATGCATTACTCTAAACGTGGAGAGTTACTATGGTTATTATAGAAAACCCAAGATAAATATTTAATGTGTGTGTGTGTGTGTGTGTACACACATACAATAAATATTTATTTATTTTTTATTTGTTTTTTTTATTTAAAAATTAATGCATTAATGCTAAAATGTGTCTCATCCTTGGTGACACAAAATGAAAAAAATGAACATTTATCACCCACATGACATTTCTCAACAAAAAAGTGCCTTCAACATATATAAATATAGTGCATTTAAAAATATAAAAACACCAGCAAAATTAATGTATCATTATTAGATATAAAGTGTAACTAAATATTTTAAATAACAAGTACCATCTGAATCTGAAAGATATCTGGATAGATAGATAGATAGATAGATAGATAAATAGATACAATGATAGAATTAATGCTATGTTTTTGAATATGCTTTTAGTTTTAGTTCTTTTGAATGGCTACTTATATTGACATCATGCATAGTTTTCACATTATCCGAAAATATGAGCAAATGGGTTGTGAGATGGGGCGTTTTACTGTGATTGTAATTACAGTGAGCGCCAGGTAATATGTTACCATTTGTGTGATCCAGGTGTTGGGAGCTGCTAGTTTGTAGCAGTGAATACTGTGCAGTTATTTGTGTTATGTAGATTTTATGTTAAAGCTTAGAAGCTTGATTTGGTAAATCCCTTGTTATTAATCATGAAGTAGAAAACAGGTAGCCTTAGCCATCTAGTAATTATTTATACAGATATTATAAATGAGAATATATAATGGAAATCATATCTTTAAAATGATTAAAGCTATTTTGGCTTATCTTTATATACCCTACAACGCCAGTAACATTCTAATTGTTGGACGAAATGCATGCATTGACTGCTGCTGACTGTATATTCTGTTTAAATAATTGCCGTGCAGATGCTTACAACTAACTGTGTATACAATATATGGATTTACATATGTAATTATTAAGGGACTGACGGTTTTTAAAAAGCGGCACACACATATGTAAATGCACAGCTGGACGTACATGTGAGGTTAATATTTATCTTGACAATTTTGAGCAATTTTGAAGGCAAGTGGTTTCCTTATATTTGTATAAATATATTAATAAACGGTATACAGAAATGTATTGAATATTTTATTTTTAAATCTGAAACGGCCTCAGTTTTTTTAAACAATCCTGACATATGCTACTTTTAATCCTTATTAATGTTAATATGGTGTTTTGCTTTTCTCTCTGTTACCTATTACATTTAATTTATCTTCTACCATTTTAGTCCACCATCTCTTCTTTGCACCCCTTAATTTCCCCCTCTAATCATTACATGCCTCTTTTCTGCTTAAATATGGAGGAATTAAGTTACCATAGGGCCCTGGGCAAGTGACAAATAAGGGCTCCTATTACAGCTCACCTACAGTGGGGTTTGAAGATTGTTGTAGGGTTTTGCCCTAAACAACTCTAGACTTAAATGGTTAAACCTAAATATAAGGCTTTTGCTTCCAATAGACTTATTTAGTATACCCATTGTAAATCCTTTATGGGTGTGTTTCTCAATAGAAACATTTAGGTATTAGACACGAAGCGTAGAATTGTCGAGAATGGATGAGAATTGATGAGCGAGTTGACAATTTGGAGGAAATCAGTTTACAGCCTGGTTATTTTGGAGTAAAATGTCCAATTCCCATGTCAATTTTTAATAATTCCTGGATTTCTGAATAAACCACATAGATTATAAAATATTAGTGACAATGCCGCTATGGAACTATTGTCCTTAACAAATGGAATACTGGAGTTTAGATGCCATTGGCGTGGATGCATACAGCCCTAACCACCAGTATATAACATCACTTAAAAAAAAAAAAAAAAAAAAAGACCCGCTGAAGTTAATTATTAATTTGTACACATTTTAATAGTACTCCTAAACTGCTTACTCAGATTGCTATAGACATTTTTTTAATGTTCATTAACTAAACATTGACTTGTGTAGAATCAAAAAGAGAATTGTAATTTACAAGCCAAAAACTCTCCAAAACTGTGAAATTGTTATTTTATTTCAGCCCAAGTCTAGGTTTAGTGGGTCAACCTTACTGCACATTAACAGTCTGACAGCAGGGGGTACCCCTCAGATCCCTCTCAACTAACAATAAGGTTTTAATTTCATAGCAAGAATATATGTTAGATTTTACAAGTTGGAAATACTTGTCATTAACAATATAACACACTTAAAGAACACTTTTAGAACTGAGTGTTTCATAAAGTGTCCCATAGACATAGTTCAGGGATAGGCAACCTTCGGCACTCCAGATGTTGTGGACTACATCCCCCATAATGCTCTCACATCCATAATGCTGGCAAAGCATCATGGAGGGTGTAGTCCAAAACATCTGGAGTGCCAAAGGTTTCCAATGCCTGAATAGTTCATTTATATAAAACTCAAAGACTGCCTAGAATCTGGTAGTAAAAGAAATCTGCTTTTGCAAGCACATCAGGTCTTATTGGGTCTGCACAATATCGTCTTCTATATACCTCTATTTTGTAGTCTTGTTCATGCAGAGTTGCCCAGTGTCGAGGGATCCTGGTAGACAAAGCCACCATGATCTGCAGATAGACCATAGAGAAGTATTACATATCTAAAGGGAGAGAGGTTCCGGTAACTATATCTATCTTTTGACTCTCTCTAGTTGTCACCATGGAAGCAAACACCCACAAGTGGCAAACGTTTCAGTATTTTTTGTAAGCCTTGTATTTACATCCGGCACACCAGCTTTTGTGTGTTATGTTTTGCGATGAGTTTGTCTAAAGTGACCGCAAAATCTAAAAAGGTTTACAATCAACTGCAAGACTGTCAAATGTAAAACACACAAAGCATTATTCCTTGAAGATTTTTTTGTTTTTCGTGGATACTGTACATTTTTTCTACTGCTTGTAAAAACCATGTGTGTTAGGGATGATATCATGCGCAGTCATTTAAGATAAGTGTGGAGCCTGCAGGCTCTAGGGAAATATATTTTGTTCAACAACCAAGTGGGAAATAGCAGAAAACTTTCAGGGAAGAAGCGTATAATTTTACGTTTTAATTTACTTTAATTTTCATTTGTAATGAAAGAGCCGCCATATGACATCTGACACCCATATGCACACAGGACGGTCAGGGAAGATGTTGATGACTTATCTTTGTCTTAGAATATACGTTACGTTTCTCATATACCACCTGTGGGTATTAAACAAATGAGTAATGTATTATTGTATGTAAGGATTAACATTTATCAAGAATAAATGGTGCTTTTATAGTATACAATGAATTTCACCGACCTCTCAGAAATAAATAACTAAATATAATATTTTATCCAACTCAGCTATATTGTCTGTACAGTAAGAGTATTAGAACTCTTAAGGTCCATGCTCTGCTATAACTACATATGACCCCACTTAGAAACTTGTATCCTAGATACAATGTAAATTAGAGGCAATGTAAGGAATGATTGCAGAATGGTGTATAGCAGCATGATGATACTGGACGTTCTAAATATATATAACTCAGAGGAGGGATCATGTAATATGATTGAAAGGTAAAAATATTTTTAGGAGTTTAGGGAAGTGCAAGATAGTGTGGTGATGTTTTCTCTGGAAAGGGAGTATTTAGAACAACATGAGTTAGCCAGATGTTGGAGGACAAATGTAAGGTTAATGCCCATACTTGCAAACAGCCTTAATTAGGTGGAACAGTCACGATTTTGACATCCATGTCCTTTGATGTCACAGTACTTTTGCTTGTACATGAATGCGTCTGCAGTACTCTGCACGTGGGCTTTGCCCTTGCCAGGCAGCTGGTCATGCTCTCTGGGACGACACCCCTCCAATTATTTAAACCATAAAACAATACTCCAGCATGTCCTCAACTCTTCAGTATCACATTTATGAAAGTGCACGACATGTACAAAGCAACGTTTCAACCAATAATCGGTCTTTTCCAAGCTCATGTATACTTATTGCATTAACAGGAAGTAAGGAGGAGGGGAATTCAACCCTCCGAAAGTGTCACATGATACAATTGTTTACACAGTTACTACATCTTATATAAATCCAGTGTGTAGTACTTATAAAATTCTTAAAATATACTTCATACAAAAAAAGTGCAAACATTGTTGTGTATACTGATATAAAAGTGCAGAATTATTGCTGCATATATGAATAATAAAGTACAATATTAAAGTACGGTAATAAATTAAAATGCTAAATTTGTCTTGAGTCAACATAATGTCACTATGTCACAGGTTTATCTGCACCCACCATGCCCCAGTTCCAGAAGTTAATATTACACATTAAACTCTGAATATCTGTTACACCTGGACTCACCATCTTTCATACACTTAGTACACCTATTCAATTGATATCAGGACTTTCCACAATCCAATGGAGGTTCTAGGGACTCCTGATCAGAGTATGGTACATATTCTGTAGCATTGTTTAATATTTCCTCCCCCGCCCTCCCTCCCCTTCTTTTTTTTTCTTCACCTTAACTGTTTCCCCTAATTTATAACTATGTTTAGAATATGTTGCTTGACATTTGAACTTCATATATAGTTAATTTAATTTATACTTGTGGGCCTTAATTTGAAATGGTTTTTTTTGGGTTGATGGTGCACTCATGTGCTTATATGTCTTGTACAATTTTATTTATTTTGAAAAACAAATTTTAAATGAAAAAAAAACCAAAACATTTTGTTTCTCTACGTTTTGTATTTTGGTATATCACCATTATCTAGACAATTCTTACTTTTTTGTCTTTCTTCAAATTTACATTGGACATTTTTATGAATAAAGTATTTGATCTTTCGAGGTAATCGTCCAGCACTTTTTTTACAGTCTTCTTTTTAATGTTGAAAGATTTATTGTAAAACTAGGTTAATAACAAAGCCTAATCCTAACAGGGATCACCTTTCTCTTATATTTTTTTTGATCTTCTCAGGTTTTCTTTTACTTTTTGTAGTAATGGATATTGGGAAAAAAAATTGTCTGAATTTATCTCTATTTTTATCTACTTGTTCTCTGAAATATTTTTTCTCCTGAATTCCTTTTTAGCTTCCACATTTTGGCTTTTTGATATATTTTGAAACCATGTTAAGTAGTGACAAGAAAAGATATATGCATAGCTGTCCATCTCATATTTCGCTCAAAAGTAAGAAATGCCTCTGAAGTTCAGTACTTACTAGTTTATTGGAAAATACAGGGGTTGCAAATTGGAGAAGTCACTTCTGTTGGGTCATACTGTAGTCTGCCTGAGCTACTGGAATGTTTCTAACTAATGTTCTGTGTTGGTATAACCAACGTCTTGTGGACACATTCTAAACTTTATCAGAGGAGGGGGCTTGTAATAAAATAGAAAATGCCAAACAAATTAGTTCTGGATTTTGTTTGCATGGTATTTGGTATAGTTATGAGTACGTCTGTGCCCCTCCCATGGTTATAACTTGTCAGTACGGGAAGGTAAAAAGGTAGATGTTATTTGTTGCCACATGTAAATGGGACAGGAAGTAATTAATCAAAAAGAATTTGCAAATAATTGTGGGACATATACCTGGCAACAGAGTGCAATTTCACAAATTCCAGTAAAGTATTGTTACACATAAAAGGGGCTTTGGCTCACGGGAAAAATATACAAAGAACCTAAACAGGGTTATTCATTAAAATGAGAATTCAAAGTGAATTTAATATTCAAGGTGAAACAAGTCAAACAGGAAAATGTCTGTAAGTCTTCCATGCTTTTAATACAGCTAGTCTGGCCTTAAATCCTTACATTTTAAATTTGCACAGAATTTAGAAGTGGGACTATCTCACCATATGTATACTATTACATCTAATACATTGCAATGGTTGGCCAGATTTACTTTAACAATGTCTATATTTTTGCATTTATAAATAAAACTGCAATTAAAAAATTCTGAATAGTAATTATATAAAATCTATCACACATAGAAAACTAAACAGATTTATAGATTGCAACATATGGCTAATTTGGACTTTATCCAGATTTAGAGACTTTATAATTTAAATATGTGCACATTTTTGTAACTTATTTTATTCAGATATATTATTTTAAGTTTGAATATTATAATGGGCTTTAACAGATTGTTAATGTTTTTTATGGAGTTGATCATGGTACCACTGCAAAAATGTGTACTTTATACATTATATAAAAAAATTAAGAACGTTGAACACATTCTTAAGAACGTTGAACATAAAATTTGGAAAGCCTTTAAACAATATCAAACCTAAAATGAAAATTATGGAGTAGAGGAGATAGAGAGACATGCTAAAGATCGTCCGTTATTGTTGTGGTGTGGGGATAATGCAGTGGGTGGGGAGAGAGTCAGGGTGGTTTGGTTAGAAGGACTATGTCCATGTAACAGGAACTACATTCTTATATAAACAAAAACATTTGAATCACTTGATTACTGAATAATACAAATTTAGACTTAACTATTAAAAAAAATGTCCCTTAAATTTAATAAAATATGTGCATAGAATGACTTGTGATATTGGTGAAAAGAATGTGTAAACCAGCTAAGTTCATGGATTGAAAGGTAGGTTTCCAAGCCAAATCATGCACATTATTTGTGCCTCGGTCAAAAAAAAAAAAAAAAAACAAGGTAAGTACTGATGATCTAAAATCTTAAAATATGGTTTCTAGCATAAAGAAAATAGTTAAAATCTGAAATAGTATTTTTGAGCTATACTGTTTCTAATCAATCCAATCCATGAAACAAGGCGTAATGGATTTGACTCAAAGATGCAGGATAATTTTACTGCTATAATTCTCAAGAGGGTTTGTTTGAATTCTAGAATCAAGGGTTCTTTTAAGCTCATAGAACATATGACATGGAACTAATCCTGTACAAAAAAGGTCTGTATATGGGTGTATGACCAGAAAAAGTGGAATAGGTTTGCTAGATATTTGCTAAAATTTATAGCAGTTATTGTCCAACATGGCATGCATTAAGGCAGGAGTGGGCAATCTTCCGCACTCCAGATGTTGTGGACTACATCTCCCATATTGATTTTACACCCACAATGCTGGCAGAGCATTAGGGGAGATGTAGTCCACATCATCTGTGGTGCCAAAGGCTTGCCTTTGGAATAATAAAATAGAATAAATGGAACCGCAACACCAGGTAGCATAAAGTAGGATATTTTCTTTCACCACAGTGGACTCGGCAACATTTTCACCCTCCAGGGTCTTTGTCAAGCCTGAGAGTCCAAGTAACAACATGCCATTTAAATACATACTTAATTACATCCAATCACATAGTGTAACTACATAGACCACCCATAGGTGGAGTCTCACACAAAGGCAATAAAATTAACCCCAGCTGCGATCAAGTGAAATCTAATCACCAAACATAACAAATAAAAACATGTAAATAATACCTTGTAAAGCAATAAGGTTTAAGTATCCATGTTCGCTGTATTATATATGATAGCCGAACAAAAAATATATAGTATTTTTATTATTTGAGTTTGGAAAAACTAAGAAAAAATCTTTCACTCCTGGACAGAAACATATTGTGATGTCCAAGGTCACAGGTATGTGGTATATATCAGGGAACCATCGGAAAGATGTAATACATTCTAAGAAAAGAGGACAAACAGAAACTAGACCATAAATACAGATAGACTGCAAATGAAATTGTAATTAAAAGCTACCTAAACATGTAAGCCAAAGATATGGTAAGCTGAATTACATCATTGGAACAAAGACAATGGGAAATCTCAATTTATCCCCATAGGTTCCAGGAAGTTCGGAGTATCCTAAATGCTTCTCGTCTCTTGAGGAGCACCGGTCTATGTAGTCCTCTTGGTCACAAGGTCACCAGTACACTTTATAAGGTATATAACAAAAGTGGATTCACAGGTATAATACTGTTTACTCCCAAACCTGTGTGAAGATGTACAAAATGTTGCCACTAATAACTGAGTTACAATAAGGACAAGGAAAATTACATTCTTGAGGTTTTCCTGGAACTTTTTGACTAGCCAGGAAGAGTGTTTTATACTCACCCAGACAAAATGGTCACGGATTGTTTCCACAACGTCTGAATGGGACCATTGTAGAATATGCCAGTGTTAAGGATTTGCATTAATTTATTATTATTATTTTTTTTCAATTAATTTATTGTTTCAATGTGTGCCATATTGACTAACAAATGTTAGTCTAGTGTTAGCAGCTGATCTAAACTGACAAGTCTTGAGTAGGATATTACATCTCATAATCACTCTTGTGTTAGAGAGTTCACTAGAAAGGAGCTCTATAGGACAGCCCCTAAACAGAAATTTTACAGCAATCTCTTTTAGCCTGACCTCACATACTTATTAGTTTGTCACTATTTGCTTTAGCCTGTAGAATGGACTGCATGGGAGGGCAAACAGTAATTTGTCAGGATGGGCACTGTCAAATCATAAAAAAAGTATTCTTACTATTTTAAAAAATATTTCTATAAATCGGTAGAAAGTTTAGAGCCTTGATTAAGAACCGCAGTATCCAGAAAATAAAGTCTATTGTAATGACAAGTTATGGTAAATTGTATATCCCTTGGAAAGAAATTGAGGACCTCATGGAAAGATCCCAGGGACTAGAGTGTACAGCGCTACACCGCCACAGCGCCACACCGCCATAACATGAATATAGTGAAACCAATATCGCTCAAGATTACAAAAAAAGAATTAGGGTAAATATACCATTCCTCAATAGAATTCATGAGTATGTTGGTGTATGTGGGCGCTACGTTCGAGCCCACAGTAATCCCCTTGATCTGAAAATTGCCAGCAAATACAAAATAATTCCTCTTAAGTACAGTGTGTAGTAAATGGTTAAAAAAAGTCATTTTTAGCATTATCAATCTTCAAAAAAGCAGATGCTTCGTGCATTGCCTGGAGTACCCTTAAAAAAGTCTATGTAGTGTCTACAGATTAGCTGTCACCAGAGACTTCAGTCTCAGAGGTCAGGGCAGAAAAATCACCTTCCCAGTGAAAATATTTATCACGGCGGCGTCTGGTTGTTCACTTTACCTGTGTTGGTGTTAGCACTGTCAGTTGTACCCACATCCTTTAGCGTAATTCTCTTGATCATGCTAAAATTTCCCATGCTTCTGCATTTCAACTTTAGTTTACCTTTTTTTTTTTGCACTTAGGGTTTGTTTTATTGTCTTTGTTTTAAATGTCCACCTCTATGGGTGGTCTATGTAGTTACACTAATTATATGTTATTGTATGTATGTATTTAAATGGCATTTTGTTACTTATGCTCTCAGGCTTGACCAAGACCCTGAAGGGTCGAAACGTTGCCAGGTCCACTGTGGTGGATTAAATATCCTAATTTTGCTACCTGGTGTTGCGGTCCCATTTATTCTAATTTTATTGCTTTGAGGAATTGGAATGGTTACCTCTGGGACCTACACCCAGTCACTTTATTTATTTGAGTGCCTGTTTTCCTCCCTTTTTTGTTTTTATGTGGAATGTGTCCAGGGAGAGAAATAACCAGGATGCAATATTTTCAAGGACATTCAATTTCCAGCACTTTTCTCAGTAGCGGTAGAAGTTCTGTGATTAGAGTGGTTGTACCCAAATCAAACAGATGATATTGTCATTGGATAATTCACATTTTCTAATAGGATAGGCCTGACAAATGTCATATGATGTTTTACAAATAGGGAGTGGAGTATGATACTATCATGGCGTTATGGATGAATATTTTTAACATGTTATTACACTACTGCCACGTGAAGACTTGGACTCTGGATATGCATAATATCGTCTGAATGTTAGTAGTTGTGACTACAGCCAACAGTCAGAGTCCGGACTGCACATCAAAACATACATACACCAGCCCTGGAAAGAAATCCATTGGGGTTTTTTTGTGTTTTTTTTTTTTTGGCCTACAGTTTTAAGTAACCTAAACTGTTTCAACAATAACATGTTTAGTGAATAGTGCTGCCTCACCAGTAACCTAAACCGTTTCTAACAATAACAGGTTTAGTGAATAGTGCTGCCTCACCATCGATGTAGTCATTTAAAAAAAAACCTGTCTCTAAATTCTGAACGTCTTTAAAGGCTGATGTTACATATATTGTTAAATATATTAGAAAAACATTACATTGGTCAATACTATGTACACATTGTGGTGATTTAACTAATCAGTCAGTCGTGGATATGAAAGAACAATGTAGAAGCAAAATATAGCTCAGCTGGTAAAATCTCCCGTACAAATGAATTGAAAACTTTATTTATTTATTTTTTCAAGTTCATTATTTTAATTACATTTTTTAAGGCAGTTTTGAGCTCTCGGCAGCTAATTATTTAGAGAATAAACGCCAAAGACTAAACATGTATAATATCATAATTATCGTTCATCAGAGATAATAGCCCCCAAATGGGGCACACGATGCTGTATTTCCTGGAATAGTATCTTAGGGAATCACAGTTTTTGTCAAATGAACAGTAACCAGATGTGTTCTGTTTGATGAAAGCATTTTATACAGTAAATATTTTCTACATTTCCCATTAAGTTTAATTTAATTTTGGTTAAGAATCGCAGTAAACATTGAGTGCAATTGTACCTTTTCCTGGAGGCAAGAGCAGAGCAACATTTTACAGCAAAATGTTAGCCTCAAATATTAATTTAGTAAATAACTATACTGAAAAAAATAATACATGGTTAAATAAACAATTATATATGTTACCATTATGAATTACGAAGGCGAAACTTAATTCTGTAGATTTAATTAGCAGAATTCTGCAGTTTATATTTTAAGAAAGTTAGTTGCCTTGCGTTAAATGTGTGTAACCACTGCTGTTCTTTGTGGCTCTTTAAGTTTTAACGCACACAAAGGTTGTCCAGGTGCTTGGAGAATCTCTTGAATAAAAAATATGTTGTGAATAACATTATTTTTATTTTTTTAAATTTATTATTTAACAGGAATGTGCTTTGCGGATAAGTGCAGTTATTTAAAGATGGTAATGTGTTCATTTTGAAATATTCATTCCCAAAAACAAAAATTCTACACATAAACAAACAATGTATACGCTACCTTCCAATCTGCTTAGTGTACAATTACAGCAACAGGTGTTTTATGAATAGCAATGTTTAAAGATGGAAAGACATTTCTATTGCTCGGCTATAAAGAACTTTCAACCAAAATTATCTATGTATTGTGTGAATTAACATCAGCTAGTTACTTTAAGCACTTCAGTAATGCAAAGTGGTCATGGTGTAGTGTTTCGCTATGAAATACTGCGCATACAAAGTTTAAGGTCTTTGCTGCCAGATATGTAACTGCTAGTAGGGTAATTGGGGCAATATTATCCAGTCCAGAACAAGAGTTCTAGACTGGCTAAGATCAATTCTATGCACATTTCGTGACATCATCAGCAAGCTGGCGATAGGCAGCCAATGGCAGCAACCCCTACGCCCCCTCCACGCCATCCTTGTCCTCCCTTTACATCCCTACCCTTGCTGTTAGGCCGAGAGACATCCACAGAGGAGGATTATGTTGAAGGGAGAATCTGGCCTTATTTCTGGAATAGAGGTAAGTTTATGGTTTTTATTTAATTTTTTTTTTATAAATTCTTTATTTTGTTGGTGTTTCGTTTTTGTACTTTATGGGGAAAGGGTTACAGAAAGAAAAGATTGTGATGAAACGTTAGTTTAACATATAACAGTTTGTAACAGTATTAACAAGTCAGGTATTGGCTTATGCATTGCGTTGTTGTGCCTAATTTTTGTCAGTTTTCCTGAATGTTGCTCGGCATATGTTTTTAGTACTCCTTTTGGGAGGAGCTTGGGGGTGTCAGGGGAGATGGAAACGGGAAGCAGAGAGGGGGGGGGAGGTATCAAGTGGGTGTAGAGGTTCATGTGTCGTGTGTGATGACCTTTCATCGGTTTTTATTTTTTTTAACCTTTACAAGTAGCGATAGGTACAGCAAGTGTTAGTCTAACCGAAACCAGTGCTTTCTTTAAATATTGTTTTTTGGTTGGAGTAACACTTTAATGTAATGCACGGAGATGTTTAGTTCATATCATTGTTCTTCAATTTTAAACTTTAAACCATTAACAAAATTGTGTTTTTTCCCCCCAAATAATTCCTATAAACAATTGTGTCCAGCACCATCACATTTATATTGACCCATTTAAGGCCGAAACAAAAATGGCGTATTTTTGGCATCACCACAATCTGGTTTTCAAATACCTTATTTCAGCATGGAATGTCCTCTCTGTTTGTTGTTTATAGCTCCGTGTAGTCAATTTAGTGAGACTTTTCACTTTCCACAGAAGCAGATTGTAATGGCAGTGTTCATTGTCATTCATTTGTTTTTAATAGGTTAAACTGATAGTTTGAACATTAAAAAGATCAGTTAAAACAATTGTATAGCGTTAATAGTTCTCTTGAGTCTGGCTATTTCATGAAATTCATAGAATCACTTCTGCCTCAAACTGCCCACAGTTCTATCTGAATCACAAGTAAATGGTGAAGTGGGTTTTATAGGAAATGAATGTAGTTAGAGGATTTAGAAGACCAAAGTTCTAGCAGTTTATGGATGTCTCCAGAAACCTGAGATATATTTTTTTCCCAAATACACATACTGTACACACACATGTGTATATCACACAATTGTTCTTAAAATATTTTTTATTAAAGGGACACAATAGTTACCAGAATAGCTATAGCTTTATGTAGTTCTGGTGAGTATTGTCAGTCCCTGCAGGCTTTTCAATTTAAACGCTGCCTTTTTAGAGAATACATACACATTCTCACTTTCAGGTAGTAGCTTTACCTCTGCCTGGATGCCATCATTAATTCTGTCTCTTTTTCTACTGTCTATGCAAGTGTGTGTACAAAAGGTAGAAACTGAGTTTGTATGTCTCCAACCAGTGAAGTTTTCTGCTATCAGTCTCCCACAGCCCAGTAGATGTTTGTCTCTGTATAAAAATGCTGAATTATGTTCCCCCACTAAACAAGCTAATTGGTTGGTTTACTGTTTTATATTTTTATTATACATGGGTTTATGGTTTTACACTAGAGACCCTGCTCTATATTTATTACATAGGTGTGATTATTTATCTTGTATTTGCCGAACATCTCTTATATTACCAAGTTATATACAGTGCTGCCCGATTTATTATTGCCATCTGTTTGCTTTTTATTTATTTATTTTTTTTAAATATCATTTACATCAGATTATCGTTGAGCACCTGTTTTCAGACTGAAATTATATTTAATGTCTTAGTCACTTTTGGGAAGGGTAGAATTAGTCAAACACACGCAATAAAACAAGCAATTTTCCATTTCCTCTTTTTTTGTACAGATAGATATACTTGATAATTGCAGATCTAGCATAGGTTTTTTTCCCTAGAGCCACCAACCTCCATTACTGTGGGTAACAACTAATGTAGATCAGCGACATCGTACCTTATCATCTCTTAAAGGATCACTATAGGGTTAGGAACACAAACATGTATTTCTGACCCTATAGTGTTAAATCCACCATCTAGCTCCCCTGGACCCCATTTATGTCTCCATAAATATAGTAAAAATCTTACTGTATTCAAGCCTGAAGCTGCTGGCTCTGCCCTGTCTGCCTCGGAAAAAACAAGCAGTCTGCTGACATCATTAGAAGTGGTGGCCTGATCCAATCACAATGCTCCCCATAGGATTGGCTGAGACTGACAAGGAGGCAGATTAGGGGCAGAGCCAGCACAATTCGAACACAGCCCTGGCCAATCAGCATCTCCTCATAGAGATACATTGAATCAATGAATCTCTATGAGGAAAGTTCAGTGTTTGCATGCAGAGGGAGGAGATACTGAATGTTTGGATGCATTTTAGGCAGCCATGACCCAGGAAGGATCTCTAACAGCCATCTGAGGAGTGGCCAGTGAAGTTATCACTAGGCTGTAATGTAAACACTGCATTTTCTCTGAAAAGACATTTGTTTACAGCAAAAAGCCTGAAGGTAATGATTCTACTCACCAGAACAAAGTCAATAAGCTGTAGTTGTTCTGGTGACTATAGTGTCCCTTTAAAAATGTATGCACCAAAAACTCACCTAAATCCTGATCTAAGTGCCTTAATTTGGAACTCCACTTACATAATACCCTCAATTGCTGAGATAGAAAGAAAACTATTAAAATTACTCAAATCTGGAAAGCTGTAATTATTCCTACTCTCTATTTTAGAGTACCGTATTGTGTACATATACTTTTTCCAGCGATCTGTCACATTCATTTATTAACGTGTATATTAGCAGTAGTGTATGTTGGGCTGCCTCTGTCCTTATTGATTCTCAATAGGATGTGTAGATAGAAATGCTTCACAGTTTTAAATGTATCTTGTGTGTTGTACGGGTTGACCTCTGACTTTTGCCGCGTACGTTACGTGGAAATGCTCAGAGCTTTATTCATACATAGGCACAGTGTGTATGTGCTTACAGGCCCAGTCCAAATACGGTGCATCCTTCTGTGACAGCCTGCCAGAGACAGTATAAACACCGCTCCACGGGCTCCGTGGAAGCAGACCAAAGCAGAAGATGGAGCTGATTAAAGATGAGATAATCTGTCAGGGAACGTGCATAGCTATTTTTGGTTGGGGTGTTGTCTGGCATTCAAATATGTGAGGAAGCAGGAGTTAATTACAGGGTGCAAATTAAGTAATGGTAGGGGCATAACTGTCTGAGGATCGGTTTAGGGAAGGGAGGAACTTTATTTGAGTGAAGTAATGTGGTCATTCTGGGGAGGAGAGGCTTTTTGCGGGGATGGAACTTCTAAATAGTAAAATTGGGTGGAGCACCCACCTAACGAATGGGTGCCAGGACTCCGGCTCCACCACACCGAAAGAGATTGCAAAAACGATGTCCAGCACTCCATATGGTATCAGAAATATCCCTTTACTGGCAATCCAGAGCAGCAATGATTTTATTGGGGGGGAACAAAAGTGTTGTGCCTACAGGCATCTGAGATGTAAATTCAGCAATAGAAATGCCCCCAATCTGTCGTCCAAGCTGTGAAGGGCTCCTTAAAGGACCACTATAGTGCCAGGAAAACATACTCGTTTTCCTGGCACTATAGTGCCCTGAGGGTGCCCCCACCCTCAGGGACCCCCTCCCGCCCGGCTCTGGAAAGGGGAAAGGGTTAAAAACTTACCTTTTTCCAACGCTGGGCGGGAAGCTCTCCTCCTTCTCTCCTCCTCCGTTCCTCCTCCTGGGCTGAATGCGCACGCACGGCAGTTTCTCTGAAACTGCTATGTTTAAAAAAAAAAATGGGTTAACCCTAGAAGGACCTGGCACCCAGACCACTTCATTAAGCTGAAGTGGTCTGGGTGCCTAGAGTGGTCCTTTAAGTGGTTCAAGCAGAGTAGCACCTGTGTTTACCACTATTTACTGAGCCCTTTCACTGTTTGAGTTTAGAAAATATATTTAAAAAAATTCTGAAAGTAAAGTTCACGTGCCAGTCTATTAAACAAGTCACATAGCAGACGTAAGGCTCGAAAATGAAGGCAAGAGCTAGCACATACACTACCGTCACACAGATATGTTCCTGGCATACAAAACCACAATTCTATAGCATAATCTTTGAGGACAGGCATATAAACTTTAATGTGCAAATAAAGCAGATATTTTCTATGTTTTTCCCACTAAGCGAAAGTAAAGTGCGCATGCGCAGGGCGAGCCTTTTATGGCGATAAGTTAGGTGGAAGTTAAGGCTGAGATGTATCTGTAGTGGATTAAAAAAATATTGTGCTTTCTTTAGCCAAAATTAGCTCTAACTGGTGCACCTGAGCAGTACAATACCTACTAGATTTAGATGCATTTATATCCATAGCGGAGTTTGTACCTCACAGGCGTATCAGTTAATTTTAGCTGTAGAAAGTGTTAGTGCAATTATTATTTTTTGTCCTCCTGAAACTCACGAATTTGGGAATATTACTCTATTGGTCTCCTTTGTGTTGGTTCCTTTTATGTTTTACATATATCGCATTACTCGGAACAGTTGAAGACGCAATTTCCAACATTATATCAAGGGATGTTAGTGGGCTGCTGAACATGGGCCTGGAAGCAGGACTTGTCAGTACGGTTTAATATTTACCGGTTCTCAGCAGTTTGGAAACAAGCCCTTAGTTGCTTCTGAGCAAAAATTTGCAAAGTGATATATGTATGTTTTATTCAAGTATTCCCTTTTTATTGCTGTGTATGTTTTCCAATTTCATTTTCTTTGGTATGAAATACTTAAAGTGCGTGACAGTAATCAAATAATGTTTGTTACAGATCCTATTATTGTTTCACATCCAGATAGAAAGCCATTAAACATTCTGTGCAAGAGCTCATCTTTTCATTTTTTCTAAATACTCTAATAAAAATAAGAAACTGATGTTATTTAAAAGGACACCATAACCACCATAAAATCGACATGGTTTTATAATGTTTATGAAGCTACGAGGCTCGGAGAGCAGACTCACTGGTTTTTGTCAGACTAATGTTTTCAAATGTTATCATATATTTTTGAAGTGATTCCTCAGCAACCTAAGCCTGTTACCATGAGGAATTTCACTTCCTTATTATCAGTACAAATATTTGGATGGGGCGAGCATTCTATGGGTATAGCAAAATATGTAAAATATGTTCACTGTACAAGTGTATATATATATATATACATGCATAAATTATATGGGTGCTGTCCAACTAATACAATATACATGATCCATTACATTCGCTCACTCACTAAACATTAACTTCAAAATTCACAGAATTATTTTTTTAGCTGTGTTTTAAAGACCTAACTTGCATAAGCTTGCAATTTTCCAAGTAAGTGGGTTAATCTCATAAGACCCGGCTTTTTTTTCTTTTTAATTTTCCATATATGGCATAAGCTTGCCACAATATATATATATATACAGGGAGTGCAGAATTATTAGGCAAGTTGTATTTTTGAGGATTAATTTTATTATTGAACAACAACCATGTTCTCAATGAACCCAAAAAACTCATTAATATCAAAGCTGAATATTTTTGGAAGTAGTTTTTAGTTTGTTTTTAGTTATAGCTATGTTAGGGGGATATCTGTGTGTGCAGGTGACTATTACTGTGCATAATTATTAGGCAACTTAACAAAAAACAAATATATACCCATTTCAATTATTTATTATTACCAGTGAAACCAATATAACATCTCAACATTCACAAATATACATTTCTGACATTCAAAAACAAAACAAAAACAAATCAGTGACCAATATAGCCACCTTTCTTTGCAAGGACACTCAAAAGCCTGCCATCCATGGATTCTGTCAGTGTTTTGATCTGTTCACAATCAACATTGCGTGCAGCAGCAACCACAGCCTCCCAGACACTGTTCAGAGAGGTGTACTGTTTTCCCTCCTTGTAAATCTCACATTTGATGATGGACCACAGGTTCTCAATGGGGTTCAGATCAGGTGAACAAGGAGGCCATGTCATTAGATTTTCTTCTTTTATACCCTTTCTTGCCAGCCACGCTGTGGAGTACTTGGACGCGTGTGATGGAGCATTGTCCTGCATGAAAATCATGTTTTTCTTGAAGGATGCAGACTTCTTCCTGTACCACTGCTTGAAGAAGGTGTCTTCCAGGAACTGGCAGTAGGACTGGGAGTTGAGCTTGACTCCATCCTCAACCCGAAAAGGCCCCACAAGTTCATCTTTGATGATACCAGCCCAAACCAGTACTCCACCTCCACCTTGCTGGCGTCTGAGTCGGACTGGAGCTCTCTGCCCTTTACCAATCCAGCCACGGGCCCATCCATCTGGCCCATCAAGACTCACTCTCATTTCATCAGTCCATAAAACTTTAGAAAAATCAGTCTTGAGATATTTCTTGGCCCAGTCTTGACGTTTCAGCTTGTGTGTCTTGTTCAGTGGTGGTCGTCTTTCAGCCTTTCTTACCTTGGCCATGTCTCTGAGTATTGCACACCTTGTGCTTTTGGGCACTCCAGTGATGTTGCAGCTCTGAAATATGGCCAAACTGGTGGCAAGTGGCATCGTGGCAGCTGCACGCTTGACTTTTCTCAGTTCATGGGCAGTTATTTTGCGCCTTGGTTTTTCCACACGCTTCTTGCGACCCTGTTGACTATTTTGAATGAAACGCTTGATTGTTCGATGATCACGCTTCAGAAGCTTTGCAATTTTAAGAGTGCTGCATCCCTCTGCAAGATATCTCACTATTTTTGACTTTTCTGAGCCTGTCAAGTCCTTCTTTTGACCCATTTTGCCAAAGGAAAGGAAGTTGCCTAATAATTATGCACACCTGATATAGGGTGTTGATGTCATTAGACCACACCCCTTCTCATTACAGAGATGCACATCACCTAATATGCTTAATTGGTAGTAGGCTTTCGAGCCTATACAGCTTGGAGTAAGACAACATGCATAAAGAGGATGATGTGGTCAAAATACTCATTTGCCTAATAATTCTGCACTCCCTGTATATATATATATATATATATATATATATATATATATATATATATATATATATGTGTGTGTGTGTGTGTGTGTGTGTCTGTGTGTGTGTGTGTGTGTGTTTTTTTAATTCTGAGTAAATAATACTTTTCTACTCTAATTTTTAATTCTCCGGTTTTCTAAACATCAGGCTGTAAAATATTACAATAATATTATTTAAGGAAGCAGAGATTTAATTGGTCCCAAAAATAACTATGTTATATAGAGATGGAAAAACGTCATAAAAAGTGATTTTAACTCAGATTTCTTTCATAACCTTTTGTGCGATAAATTCAGGTCATGTTTAGAAAGAGCATTTCTGGGTCAAAAAAATTGATGTTGAACCATCTACATTGGTTCCCATGGCAATTGTTCCAGATGTAGTACTTTGACTTAGAGTGGTACTTTTCTTAAGTACACATCAATATCCACTGAAAATGCCCAAAGTATGGAATGACTATGACCTATTAAATCTGATCTGGAGGTACGAAGTAAGAGTTCCACCATATATTCCTTTCAAACCACCAGTGATATATGTATATATGTATTTGTAAAATTCATGGCGAAGTACCCTTAAGTGGCCATATATTATTTAGATACATATGTCAAATCATTTTATTCACTTGTGTAGAATGGTGGTTGGCCTCAGGCAAAGTTGATCCATTGGGAAGTTTAAGTGTGATTGTCTATTTTTTTTTTTTTACCAACCACAGATTTAAAATGGGGAACCTGAAAAAGCTTTTTTTAACCATTTATAGTTGTGTTGCAATAATGGACCTTGGTGAAAAATACATTACGGACACATCTGGAATAGAAGTAAAACAGCTTTAAATTTAATGTGTGTAGTTTATTATGGGTTATGCCCTTATTATAAATAAAATCGCAGTAACGTCGCATTGCCATTTATGATACGCACATAATTCCGGATCAGTGTAATTCAACTCTCTATATTATTTAGTTATGTATACATTTTTTATGTTTGCTGTCTGTGATCTCACTTGTAATTTTTATCTTTTTCATTATTGCGTTTTCTATCCACTTTTTCATATGATCGTGCTTGATTTATTACTTTGCTTGTTACACTGAAATTGTGGTGACAAGTGAGATGGTAGAAAAAAAGGTGGCTGAATGGCGTTTCTATAACTTAAAATGGTTTTGTTTTGTTTTTCTTTTCTTTTTTTTTTTATATAGAAAACTGTTCTTAATTTTTATACATCGAAAATGTTAAAATTAACCAAAAGGGTGTTGAAAATATATTTGTCGAAAAATATGGCGCAAACATGTCTAATAATTGCACTCACTCTACACTTGCAGAAATTAGCTCCTGGTAAGCAATCTGGGATAGAGAAAAAGGTGGATGCAGTGAGTGTAGCAGTAACTGAATATGCCACACTGTAGAAAGACAGAAGCATCAATAGCATTTGCACAGTGAGCAAAGTCAGATTTCTGTTAACTATTTTATAGTCAGCCAGCCCTTGTTAGTTTTGTTCCCCTGCATCCCTTCTAAGTTCCAATACTTAATTCCCTTTGCACAAAGCAAGAGCATGTGAAGAGTAGTAAGCTTCAGTATAAGCCTGGAACTTCAGCTCCTTTAGCCCCTATGTGTCAGGGTTCTTACCTGAGGTGGGAGTCTGTAGCGCAGATATGTTTGCTCACCCTTTCAGATAGACACAGTCCAAGGTGACCAGATAAGAAGCCACCTGGACTGTGAATCTGTGCATGGGGGCTGTGCAGGAAAGGTGATTCCAATGCAGTACACAAACAGCAGGATAGTTAAGGGATAGCCGAAGTCAAAAGATTCCAGAGGTCAGGATTACTGAAGTGTAGTCGAAGTTAAGGGATGCCAGAGGTCAGGATTAACGAAGTCAGAAGCCGGTGTCAATATGGAGTTGAAGATCAAGAGACTGGAACACAGGAACTAAACACACACAACAGGATCAAAGACTTGATAAATTTCCGAGGGCGAGGCTGTGTATATAGATCGTGCTGATGATTGATCAGAGTCAGGTGAAGTACAGCACTAGACGAAGCCCAGCCCCCAGTACTGTAGACAAGCTAGGATGAACAGGACTATAATAATTCCAAGGACTAGGAACTGCTGTGGCTCAAAGGTAGATAGCAGGCCCAGGACATCAAAGTATCCAGGTTGAAATCCCCTGTTGGGCACTTCTGGGACAACCATGTCTGGATGTCATGGTGAGAATTGTGACACTATGTTAATAGGCACCTCTTGTGTGCAGAGAGCTATTGAAGAATGTTTGCAGAGCTTAAATGTCTTGATCCCATTGTGCCAACATTTCTGCTCAGAATGATGGGTGCCCCAAATCTACACTGTCCTGTCCTATCCAGGGCTGGTGGAAGCTATATGACTGATTTATTATTATACTTTCTATTCAGTATATCCAGGGGTATGGAATCTGTTGGTATTATATGAATAATAAGGACATGCTGTGTAAGCAGAAAGCCTGCATTAGAAATCACTGAGGGCCTGTACCACTTAAACAGTTAAGCAAACCTGGTAGATATTTTAATGTTTGTTCTTTGCCTCTTGTCTGTGTCAGGATTTCTTAGCCTACTTTCTCTGTGCCACAAAGAAACCTTTGTGTTGAAGTTTGCAATTGCGACAGATGGAAGGCAATCAGAAATAGGAAGACGTGCAAATGCAGAGTCCCTAACTTCACATGAGAAATCTGCACTATTAAAAAATAATGAACTCATGTTCTATTCCAGCACACCTTCCGAGTCTTCCATTGTGCCTTATTTATAGTTTTCAAATTAACTTTCCAACTTGTTAAACACTTTTCCTGAGCACTCTGTAAAATATTTATATGAAATAAAGACCTGTCTTTCCTAAGCAGTGGTATTCTCCTTGAACGTAGACGATGTAATTTATTTCAACAAAAGTAATTAAAATTGTATATATCATACGCAGAGACTAAGAGTGTGTGTGTGTGTGTGTGTGTGTGTGTATAATTCCATCTCAGTTGTCTTTTTTAACTCTTTTTTTTTAAATCTTTATTTTTCATGATATAACACGATAGCTTGCGAGGCCACAATAGCTGTAGCAAGCACAAAATAGTCAACATAGGTTACACATACATGGCTATGAGTTTGTGCACAAATTTAGTTTTTCTTAAAAAGTAAAAGACTGCGTAGATGAACAGGCTAGGCATCTTTTTAAAAATGAGAATAGAAACTAGAATTATAAATACAGGCTCAAAACGTGAGAGACAATGTGAGAGACAAGAGAGAACATTGCTGTCATTTTTTTTACCCTGTTTGCACAGGTAAGTTAAAAAAAAAAGGTGTACAATACTGCTCCAACTACAACCTTGGCACACCAAGCTGACTCGATACCTCCAAAAATGTTCCAGAACTGCTGAACGCTCCTGGAGAAAGTCTCACTCTGCATCTGACTTTCTCCACTATAAATTTATACTGCACTCTTACAGTTTGGCTCTTTCCTCTGCAAAAGTAAATTACTTCTATACCCTCATAACCACACTCTCCCACAAACCTAAATGACTATTTCACACTTTAAACTCACTTCTTTGCCCTGTTGCTTCTCCTCCTTCTACCGACTTAAGCGCCACAATCTTTGCAGCTCACTTCACTGACAATATCTCTACAATCAGGGAAGAGTTCTCTCATCTCTCTCCTTCCCCTTACAATACTTCCCCCAACCTCACTCCTTCTGCTGTTCCATGTTCATTCGCACTCGCTACAGTGGAAAAGGTTTCTGATCTGCTCCGGTCCTCCTGCACAACCACCTGCTCCCTTGATCCTATTCCCTCGCATCCCATCCATACTCTGTCTCCTTCTTTTGCTTTTCCTCTCCCTAAAATTCTCAATCTCTCCCTCTCCTCTGGCATATTTCCATTCCCCTTCAAACATGCAACTGTAACCCAAATTCTAAAAAAGCCCAACCTTGACCCTAACTACCGCCCTATCTCACTACTGCCTTTTGCGTCCAAGATCCTTGAAAGAATTGTATATATAAGATTGACAGACTTCCTCGAGTCCAATTCTCTGCTTGACCCACTTCAGTCTGGTTTCCATGCTCAGCACTCTGTAGAAACGGCTCTGACCAAGGTATCAAACGATCTACTCGCTGCAAAATCTCATGGTCCCTATTCTATCCAAATTCTCCTTGACATGTCCGCTGTTTTTGATACTGCTGGGGGAAAGGGATTTAGGGGTGATTATTTCTGATGACTTAAAGGTAGGCAGACAATGTAATAGAGCAGCAGGAAATGCTAGCAGAATGCTTGGTTGTATAAGGAGAGGTATTAGCAGTAGAAAGAGGGAAGTGCTCATGCCATTGTACAGAACACTGGTGAGACCTCACTTGGAGTATTGTACACAGTACTGGAGACAGTATCTTCAGAAGGATATTGATACTTTAGAGAGGGTTCAGAGAAGGGCTACTAAACTGGTTCATGGATTGCAGGATAAAGGAAAGGTTAAAGGATCTTAACATGTATAGCTTGGAGGAAAGACAAGACAGGGGGGATATGATAGAAACATTTAAATATATAAAGGGAATCAACACAGTAAAGGAGGAGACTATATTTAAAAGAAGAAAAACTACCACAACAAGAGGACATAGTCTTAAATTAGAGGGACAAAGGTTTAAAAATAATATCAGGAAGTATTACTTTACTGAGAGGGTAGTGGATGCATGGAATAGCCTTTCAGCTGAAGCGGTAGAGGTTAACACAGTAAAGGAGTTTAAGCATGTGTGGGATAGGCATAAGGCTATCCTAACTATAAGAAAAGACTAGGGACTAATTAAAGTATTTAGAAAATTGGGCAGACTATTTTCTGGACATACTGCACCATTATCCTCTCCTTCTGTCCATGTACGAATCGCATCTGATATATCAACAAGAAAATTTTCCTTGAACAAATTCGTGATTGCTCCCCTGGAAAGTATATACCATCATATTTTATTGGACTCTCTATCTTGGACATATGTTCATTCATTTATATTTTATTTTTTATTATTCTATTTATCTTATTTTATTTTTATTTTAGGTCTCTTATTCTGTCCCATTTTTAAGTGTATGTATCTATTGTAGACTTATTTAAGGAATCTTATGTTGGTTATAATATTCTCACCAGTGTCTTATTAGAGTGGCGCTAATCCTCTACACTTTTTTAGATTTTGTACTTGCCTCACTACTATAGGGATAGAGGGATTCCCTTCCTTTTGGAGAAAAGCTACCTTAATTTCACTTTTCCCAGTTTGTTCTATCAGTGCTGACCCTTTACTACTGTTTCTATTTCTAACTGGATGGCTGCCCACTTCCTTAACCCCTTAAGGACTGGACTGTTTTTGCGATGTTGTACATTTGCGACCAGGAATATTTTTACACTTTTGTGGTGTTTGTGTTTGGCTGTAATTTTCCGCTTTCTCATTTACTGTTCCCATACAAATTATATATTGTTTTTTTCAGGACAAAATGGGATTTCTTTACATACCATTATTTATATAATCTCATGTATTTTAATTTAAAAAAAATACAAAAATCTGATGAAAAATTGAAAAAATACATGTTTTTTGACTTTTACTTGAAAAATCTTTTACTCATCTACAAAAGCGAATGAAAAAAACTGCTAAATAGATTAAAAATTTTGTCCTGAGTTTAAAAATACCCAGTGTTTACGTGCTTTTTTTTTGCATGTTATAGGGCTATAGGTACAAGTAGGATATTGCGGTTTAAAAACATACATTTTTAAAATTTATCAATAGTGACATTGTAACACTATTATCTGTCATAAATCTCTGAATAACACCCCACATGTACATATTTTTTTTAAAGTAGACAACCCAGGGTATTCAATATGGGGTATGTCCAGTCTTTTTAGTAGCCACTTAGTCGAAAACACTGGCCAAAGTAAGCATTCATATTTGTTTGTGTGTGAAAAAAGTAAAAAAACTAAATTGAACGCCAATTTTGGCCAGTGTTTGTGACCAAGTGGTTACTAAAAAAGACTGGACATACCCCATTTGCAATACCTTGGGTTGTCTTCTTTTGCAAATGGTATGCCATCATGGGGGTATTTCTCATTCCTGGGCTACCATACGCTCTCAAAGGCAACGTAACCAACCTGGCCATTTTCAATGTAAAATATTTGACCCATATATTTGACCTTGTAACTTTCAAAAATGCTATAAAACCTGTACATGGGGGGTACTGTTTTACTCGGGAGACATCGCTGAACACAAATATTAGTGTTTAAAAACTGGAAAACGTATCACAACAATTATATCATCAGTAAAAGTGCTGTTTGTGTGTGAAAAATGCAAAAAAAGTAACTTTCACTGACAATATCATCGCTGTGATATGTTTTAATGTTGTGAATCACTAATATTTGTGTTCAGCGCAGTCTCCCGAGTAAAACAGTACCCCCCATGTACAGGTTTTAGGGTGTCGTAGAACGCTACAGGGTAAAATACAGTGCTAGCAAATTAAATTCTCTGGAATTTCGGCCTGGGTTGGCAGGCAGGTCCCTCAAATTGCAATCAATAAAATTACTGAATTATGTAAAAATATTACATAAATACGCACGTAGAATTTAAATATATATGCATATTTATATATTTGAAGTCTACGTGTATATTTATATAATTATTTATGTAATTTTGTATATGGACGTATGTATATTTCTATTATTTTTATTTATTTTTATATACATAGATATATATACAAATTCATTCTAAGTGTATTTTGATATAAATATATATATATTAATTTTAAAATACAGTTAGAATAAAATTTCATATAGATATATAATTTTTTTTAAATTTTTATTATTATTTAAAAAAAATTTATTTAATTTAAATTACTTATTATTTATATTTTATAATAATATATATATACAATATATATAGTTATTATATATATTATATATATACGTGTGTAATTTAATTATAAGTGTATTTTTATATTAATATAAGTACATATTAATATAAAAATATACTTAGTATGGCATTATATATATGATATATAGACATATATTATATAGATATAATATATGTCTATATATCATATTTATACATATATAATTATTATTATTTTTTTATTACCATTAACTTTATTTTTTTAATTGATTTTACAGTTGCAGGGAGACTGCCTGTCAGCACAGACAGTCCCCCTGCAGGCAGCACTATTGACACCTATTGTGACCATGTGATCGCTGTGTTAAGCGATCACATGGCCACAGGGGTCCTAATCTGCCGTGGGGAGACTGTCTGGGCTGCAGGCAGTCTCCCCACAACCGGTGGAACACTGATCGCCGCCGGGGGAACGACGGCGATCAGGTAAGTACCCCCAGACCGTTTGGACGGTTCAGGACCGTCATCGGTCGGCAAGGCAAAAATGCCGATGACGGTCCTGAACCGTCCTCGGTCCTTAAGGGGTTAAACTCAATTTGTCCAAAACAGAACTTCTTGTGTTTCCTTCCTCAAGTGTTGCTACTCCCATTTCTGTCTCCCTCCATGTTAATGGTGCTACCATCAGCTCCACCACGCAGGCTTGCTGCCTAGGTGTTCTCTTTGACCCCTCCTTCACCCCTCATGTCCAGTCTATCGACAAATTCTGCTGCTTCCATGTCAAAAATATTGCGCGTATCCGCCCCTACTTAACGGCAGATGCAGCTATGGTGCTGGTCCATGCCACTGTACTCTCTCGTCTTGACTACTGCAATCCGCTTCTCAGTGGTCTTATTTGCTCCCAACTTGCCCTATTGCAATCTATAATGAATGCAGCGGCGAGGCTCATCTTCCTGTCCTCTCCACCTACCATGCCTCACCCCTCGGTCAGTCCCAGCATTGGCTTCCCATAAGATATTCTGGTTCTTGCTTTCAAATCTCTACATAATGCTACTCCAACCTACCTATCCTCCCTAATACACAAGTTTGTTCCGTCTAGGCCTCTACGCTCTGCTGAAGACCTGCATCTATCCTCTGTTCATACTCCCACCACAACTTCTCTAGGACTGCAGTGTTCCTGTGGAACTCCCTTCCTTTTTCCGTTCCCAGTCTCCACTCCTTCAAAAAAATCATTAAAAACTCACTTTTTCACAAAAGCATATCAATTAAACTGTTAATGGCTTAATGAAAAAACACAATAAGTCTTCACCGAATACTATTCTACCAATCTACTTTCCTAATACTTCCCTTACCTTTTGTGTCACTTTACCCAGCACCTTCTAGCATGTAAGCGCATTGAGCCTTGCCCTCAACCCCTCTGTTTCTGTGCGTCAAACTTGTCTGGTTACAATTACATGTTTGTTAGTCCACCCATTGTAAAGCGCTGCGGAATTTGTTGGCGCTATATAAATATAATAATAATACTTGTATTTTATTATTTTTGCACTAGTTTTTATTAGATTTTAATGAGTAATTTATAAAACGTGAAAAATATGGGTTTATTTCCACCATGGAATTTCTATTTAACTCCCAATCTGTAAGAAAGGTACAGATCAGATTGCTGAACATTATGTTTTCATAACAGTCTTTAAAGGATGTAATGGTACATGCCTTTTGGATTATAAAGGAATTGTGAGCAGTGCTGCAACACGTCTGCAGCATTTCATTAGTGTGTTAGGAAATGTACCTTGGTGTTCAGAACAAACGCAGGAATTGATGCTTTGAGGAAAGCTCTAACTGTGAATGATAATTGCTGCTTGGACTGGCCACTAATTGAAGCCTTAGTGGATACATAACTTTCCCAGGGCAGAAGTAAAAAAAAAGGCCAAAAGACTGTCTTTAGGGCAACAATGGGAATTGCAGGGACCTCTGAGATCAGAATGTAAAGGGCTTCCTGTAGAAAACTATTTATAATTAATATCATAGAATGTCCGCAAAAAAAAAAAAAATCCAGCCACAATTGTTCAAAGCTAGTGTGAACTAGTGAAGAATAATTGGAGCGCGTTATATAACAGTGTAATAAGTCTAGCTTGTTATTAAAGGGCACTCTATGCAACAGTTTAGAATACTCTGTATGTTTCCTAGATTATCCGGGTGCCATCTGCAGTGTAATACCAAACTTATTAGAAGCAGTGTAACAGAAAATAAGGAAATACAATACTGTACACTTCGATGGGGATTATTTATCTAGCTGGTAATTCGGGAGAATTGACCAGAAAATTGCACATTTTACATGTAACTGGGGTGGAACAAATGTTGAATTGAAGGTGTCTTTTTTCCTAATTCTTTGTTTCTGACATACATTTGCATTTTTTTTTTTTTATCATTCTCAACTATTACCATAACCAGGGCCGGCGCTACCTGTAAGGCGGACTAGCCAGGAGCGCGGGCCCCGCTCATGCTGCAGCCGCCCGAGCGCTCTGTAGAGAGCCTCGGGCGGCTGCAGCTTTTCCCAGGCGGTGCGTCCATGAGGGCGGACCGCACCGCCCGGGCGCAGCCTGAGGAGAGGCTGACAGGAGGGAAGCGCTCAGCACTCCCTCCTGTCACTCCCTCTATCTGGCGTGGCCGAGCCCTGTATAGTCCGCGGGTACAGGGAGCAGCAGTGTGTGCACTTCCTGTTAGTCCGGCCGGGTACAGGAGACAGCTGCTCTCTGTACCTGCCGACTATACTGGGCTCGGCCACGCTACTAGGGGAGGGGAGGTAGAGGGAGGGGGGAAAGAAGAAAGAGGGAGGGAGGGGGAGAAAAGGAAAAACAGGAGGGAAGGGGAAAGAAGAAAAGCAGGAGAGGGAGGGAGGGGAGGGAGAGAAGGAAACTAACAGGGAGGGGGAGAAAAAAAACTAACAGGGAGGGGGGGGAGAAAGAAACTAACAGGGAGGGGGGAGAAAGAAACTAACAGGGAGGTGGGGGAAAGAAACTAACAGGGAGGTGGGGGAAAGAAACTAACAGGGGAGGTGGGGGGAAGAAACTAAGGGGGGAACTAACAGGGAGGGAGGAGACATTGACAGGGAGGGGAATTGACGGGGAGAGAGAAATTGACAGGGAGGGGGAGTGACAGGGGAGGGAGGGGGAATGAGAGTAACAAGGGAGGGGGGGAGAAGAGAGTGACAAGGGAGGGGGGAGAGATTGACATCCATCACACACACACACACACACACACACACAATCACACCAAATGCACCCCTTACACACAAAGACAATGAACCCCTTGCACACAGAAAAACACACAATGCATTACACACACACACGCAATGCAACCCTTACACACAATGCATCCCTTACACACACAGAAACACACAATGCATTCCTTACACACACTCAATGCACCCCTTAAACACACTCAAAGCACCCCTTACAGACTCACACACTTCATCCCTTACATCCCTTACACATACAAACACAGATTCACACAATGCATTCCTTACACACAAATCAGGACATCCCCTACACACTCTACCCCCTGTGAACAAACTCATTGGTGGAACATGAAGGTGGACCCTGGGACCCAGACCTTGAGCTGTGTAAAGGGCCCCCAAAAAATGGAGCTGCTTCTCGTTCTCCCAGAACATTGATTTTTGTGACCACAGTTACAAACAGCCTCCAGAGATCCTGTTATACACCAGACCAGTGGAGCCAGACTGCAGCTAGAGCCCATCATCATCCTCATCTGCTTGTAAGTAGGTAATCTAGTATATTATTCGTGGCACTAATCTCTAATTTACCTCACATTAAAGAAACACTATAGTCCCCAGAACCACAGCAGCTTAATGTAGTGGTCCTGGTGTCTATAGCCTGTCCCTGCAGGCCTTTTAATGTAAACACAGCGGCACTGCAGCACTAGCGTTAGTTAACATGGCAGGTCATATGGGTGGGGCATTGTGATGTCACGGGGGGGAGGGGGGCGGCAAACTTTACTTTTGCCTAGGGCGGCAAAAATCCTTGCACCGGCCCTGACCATAACAGTAAAAAAATTAAAAAACTGTTCATTTGTAATGTAATTAATTTTTTTCCACTTTTCCTTCTCAGTGAAACATAATAATAAGCTAGGCGGCAGTTCACTCGGTTTTTAATACATTGTGTAAAACAGTGGTTCCCATCCCAGTCCCCCAGACAACCAACAACTGTCCAGGTTTTGGTCGTCATCCCCGTTAGAACATAAATGGAAAATGACAAAATCCCAGACTGTACATTGTTGACAGCATAACGCACTGTAACCTCACTTATATTAACCTACACATTAAAGTCAACATATGTTGGTGTCAGAGAAGACAATTTGAGCCTAAAGCCCAAAGTGTCTGTTTGTGAACAGTTGAATTGACGACAAAGTTGAAAGACACGTATTTCTAAAGAGTCACTCAGAGGACATGCTCGTCACATTCCTTCCAGCAAAGAGCAAGCACACATTGGCGAGGGGATGCAGGGCGTCACACAGTCTACCTTAGTGAATGGTGACGGGGGGTGGGCAATGGAACCTGGCAACTATTAACCAATCACGCACCTCACATGGATCAGGGGTACAAGTGATGGCAAGCAGGTCTGTCAATGTCAAAGCATGAATCTGCATTAGAGCAGATCGTAATGAAACAGACTTACTCCCTGCTATTTTAAATGTTTATTCCTCGTCCTTGTTAGGTTTGCACAAATTATTATATAGTAAAATAATAGCAAATGTATTGAAGACCCTTGATCTTTATGCAGACAAGAAATGTAATTGCTGCATCATTTATTGTCAAATAATGTGACTCGGAATAGTGTTATTGTTTCAAATAAATTTATTATCAGTTTTAATGAAAAATGAAATATTAATGTATTTTTTACCCCCAATTTAATGACTTGGTTACAATTTAACACATGAATTGTCATAATAAGTCTTGTAGCAAGAATCACTCAAAGGTATCATTTACGATGCACCAGGGTTGCTGGAAGGGAATTATGGGTAATGTAGTAGAGCAGCTGGAATGCTAGCTTTGGAAGTATGTTCCATGTCATTCAGTTTGCAATTCAAAAAAGATTAGTCAGTAGAAACCCTATGTCCAAAAGGTCAAAGAAAAACTATTGTTACCAGAAGCAACACGCTAAGGGGCAGTGCAGGGCATATCAAATAATGCAGGTAAAGACGTAGATGTGGTGTACCATAAACCAGGAAGAGCACTGCAGAGTTTTATCTGCAAAACAGGGAATTAGGGACTTGCTAAACAAATTGCAAAACTGAGGCCAAAGTAGAGATGGATTTTTTTTAGAAAAAGTGCCAATTTAGTTATCCGATTATCTCGCTGTGCTGTGTAGTTAATCAGTCCCACTCGTCAAGAACCATAGAACAAATCTGTATATATATGCTACATTCCCATCTGGGTAATGAAGCATGCATCTCTCTCTCTCTCTTTAATACTATCTTCCTTCCCTTTTCATTTTCCTGTTATTCACGGCAAATACTTTATCTAATTTAAATTTCTTGTACAACATTGCTTCACAAAAAGCCCATCAAGATGTCGCACTCTGCTTTTTATTAGCAGCCGAATTTGTTTTAATTCACTGGGTGTTAAGATTGTTCTAATTCTCTACTAATTGGTGCCTTCGTTATTTGCAAGGCTATTACAGTGCATTTTAATCGTCTTTTAATTTCTTCTTGACTAAATTCTAATTTTATTGCAGCCTTTTTTCTACCGCCCCCATTCCTGACCATTTGTAAGCCGAAATTCTGTCTCACTTTTTGTATCTTTAATGAAGAAAATGTACTAATATACATGCACAAGAAAATGTCCAGGTAAAAAATGATCTGGAGAAATGATCTAAATCAGCTATGCTTCCAGTTTGGCTACTTTAGTCTGAAATTCAATTTGAATTCTCATATTAGTGAATAACCCAGTGAGATAGACTTATATGATACAAATGCAGCTGATTCACAGACAGATATGCAGGCACACAGCCATAGCCAGATATACGTAGTCAGACAGGTAGACAGAAAGACAGTCGGACACATAGATCATCGCGAACAATGTTTGCATTGTTACTAGAATATCATTAGTTACTAACATATTTGCTATGTATTACTATTTTTGATTTTCAGTTTAGCCCTGATATATTATTATTATTATTATTATTGTTGGTCTCTCTGTATTCTGACAAGCTGTCTGACACTTCTTTCCATATAAAAGCAGACAGAATATCGATTGGATCACAGTTTTGAAAGGGTGATGGCTGATGACATACTCAGATTAATGTGTTGAGTTTATAATCTGCTTTCCAGTATAAAACAATTCATTTCATTGTGAAATACCGTTCCCTTGTAGCTGCTGTCCCACACTTAATTTAAACAAATAGGCTGAGGACAAAACATAAAGGGCTACTGTCATGCCCCAAATAACGTATGCTTATTAGATTGAGAATAAGATTTTATCTCTGCATTGTGCAAATGTATAGGTCCAAAATAGTTTTTTCTGCTAGCTGTCAGTCAATGACTCATTGGGCCGAGGCATTGGTTGAAAAGGGAGAGCAGAAAAGATCACCCACGGGAAGTCCCTGTGCTCTCCTCCCATAGCAACCACAGCACATGAGCTGTGGTTGCTATGGAAACTCCCTCGCCGGTGCTTTTAGCGCCCCCCCAGGGAATCCAAACACCATAACCACTAAAGTGAACTGTAGTGGTTATGATATCAGGAGAGACCTAGCACCCCCCATTGTAAGTCATTGACCCATTTTCTAATGGATCGTCATTTTACCTATGGTCCACTGGGAACTGCCTCCCCGCCTCTTCTCTACTGGTCTAAGAGCTGGAAACTCTCTGCCGGAGCAAAGCTCTGTGGTGCTGGGCTTAGCTCATTTGCTGATTACAACCTCAGCCAAAGAGTTGGCCCTGCACTGCAAGTCAGGAGAGCTAACAGAATCTTTTATCAGTAGCTTCAGCCATCGAGAGTGGAAGAGAAGAGGTGGGGAGCGACCCAGCTGTGTGAGTCAGGGAATGTGTGACTAGGGCTACATAAACAAAGTGATCTAACTCCTAAATGGCAATGAATTGATAGTGCAGGGGCATGATCTATACACCAAAACTGCTTCACTAAGCTAAAGATGTTTTGGTGCTTAGTGTATCTTTAAAGGGAAACTAAAGTCACCCCAGACTACTTCAGCTCATTGAAGTGGTCTGAGTGCAGTATCCCTGTCCCCCTTAGTCCTGCAATGTAAATCATTGCAGGTTTTGAGAAACTGCAATAATTACATTGCAGGACTAAGACTGCATCTAGTGGTTGGCACTAGAGGCACTTCCTAAACACTAACATACTTTGGTCCCCTACATAACGCTAGACGTCCTTACGCTTTGCATGAGAAAATATAGCGGCAGTAGAATCACTGTAGGAAAGCACTGAGGCAATGCTTTCTTATAGGGGTAGTGGGGGCACATGCACATTAGCCTCCTACCCTGTTTGATGACGTTGGTTGAGACGGAACGCTGATCGCTGGAATCGGGCAAGTTACTAAAGGATTTTTTTAATCCTTGAGCTGCAAGGGGGGACCAGGGTTCTCTATAGGGTAACGAATACAGATTTGTATTCCTAACACTATAGAATCCCTTTTAAGTAACATCTTTACAAAATAGCAATGTTTCAGGTCAACGGGGCACTTAATTAGGCTCTATGGTGTTGGCATTAAACATTAGCATGACATGTTATATTGGATATCTTCTGGAGTGGAACCTAAAACAGTTTTCAAACTCGTACTGACAGAGTACAAAAACTAGTATAGCTTAACGGTACATGTGAAAGAGAGCATTCAATTTGTGCACAGTGTGTTTCATGGCTTTAATTCTGCAAATTTTTATTGCACTTGGCATTCAGACACAGATATCCATTGGCTATACATTGTATTGTTCAATACCTGACAATCTGCTTAATGAATTAATGCATTATCCTTTGTAATACCTGCTACATAATCAATAGAAAACAGGTGTTCAGATGCAATATATATTTTTAACCAAAATTTAAAAAAACAAAGACATATAAACGCCAAGTCCTACTGATTACTTACCAATAATCGGTTATCTGTATCGAGAAATTCAACCATCTAATTTTACTTCACATTATTTAAAATAAAACCGAGCGAAATAAAATAAAATAAATTGAAAAGATAATCTATCCGGCTCATAGAACACAATGTTTTTAAGTTGGTAAATGCAATTCAATTTATTTGTTTCTTTTTCTCTGCAGGGGAAGATCTGTTGTTGATGCAAAATGAAACTGACTTTAATCACAATGAAAATCACATCACAAGCGGCATATACTCCCAGGCATTCACCTGGAAAAAACATATCTGTGCTTCACACACAATACTTTATTTTATCTCTGGAATAACCTCTCTATTAGTTTATTACCAGATACCGTAGATTGGAACTAGTGGTGTCTTAACAAACCTCTAAAGGGGGGAACAATCATAAAAAATAACTTTGATATGTTGTAGGGTACATTAATATATGTTACTTTGCAATGTTGAAAGCCATTTTAATTTAATTATTTTTCTATATAGTTTTATTGTTAGCAGCTTATTTTAAAACTTGTGCTCAGTCAGACAATTTGATTCAGCCAAAAGATTTCTTTCCAAAAAAAAATAAATAAAAAAAATTCAGGACAGGCAAATATCAGCCAAATGTCGGTTCAGCAGGGCAGAATTTTTGTTATCGAAAACCTGGTTTGGGAAATGCATCAGACAAACCAAAAGGGGCAATCAGTGCACTGCAAAACATCAAGTGAGAAAAAGTACCCAATAGAGAGTAAAGCATCAGGAGCAATCACAATAATAATCTACATTTGTTAAATATATAATATATAAATATTTTTATTTCTCCTCCATTTCTTCACTCTGTTGGTCATTTTCTCTGTGATTACAATCAACATTGAGTGACTGTCGACTAGCCACCAATCATCTTTTTTTGCCATCAGTTACCTTTTTTTTGTTGGCGCCTGGGCAAAATTCTGAATCAGAAATCAAAATGAAAACGCTAGCCCATTGCGTGTTTGGTTTGGTTTGTAATTCGGCTACATTTTGGCTTGGAGTTCAGGTATTCAGGTGATCAGGTGATCGGATGTAACGAATCTCCAAGTCTACTTATTCTGTAGCATAGTTATTTAACCCTTTAGTGACCAGACCAGACCGTTTTTCAATTTTCTTACCGTTAAGGTCCAGGGCTGTTTTTACATTTCTGCTGTGTTTGTGTTTAGCAGTAATTTTCACTTACTGTACCCACACATATTATATACCGTTTTTTTGCCATTAAATTGTATTATTTTCATCATATCATATAATTGAGTATATAAAAAAATATAAAATAGGATGAAAAATTTTAAGAAAACACACTTTTTCTAACTTTGACCCCCAAAATCTGTTACGCATCTACAACCGCCAAAAAACACCCGTGCTAAATCGTTTCTAAATGTTGTCCTGAGTTTAGAAATACTGAATGTTAACATGTTCTTAGCTTTTTTTTGCAAGGTATAGGGCTATAAGTACAAGTAGGACATTGCTGTTTCAAAATATATATTTTTAAAATTTATCAATAGTGACATTGTAACACTGTTATCTGTCATAAATCTCTGAATCACACCTCACATGTACATATTTTTTTAAAGTAGACAACCCTACTTACCCTATTCAATATGGGTAATGTCCAGTCTTTTTTAGTAGCCATTTAGTCACAAACACTGGCCAAAGTTAGCATTTATATTTGTTTGTATGTGAAAAATGCAAAATCAATTATGAACGCTAACTTTGGCCAGTATTGTGACTCAGTGGCTACTAAAAAAGACTGAACATGCCCCATTTGCAATAACTTGGGTTGTCTTCTTTTGCAAATGGTGTGCCAGCATGGGGGAAATTCTCATTCCTGGGCTACCATACACTCTCAAAGGCAACATATGTGATAAAAACGGAAAATCAAGCATTATATTTGACCCTGTAACTTTCAAAAACACTATATAACCTGTACATTGGGGGTACTGTTATACTCAGGAGACTTTGCTGAACACAAATATTAGTGTTTCAAAACAGTAAAACGTTTCACAACAATGATATCATCAGTGATATAATTTGAAAAATGCAAAAAATGTCACTTTCACTAACAATATCATTCCTGTGATATGTTTTACTGTTTTCAAAAACTAATATTTGTGTTCAGCGAAGTCATCCGAGTAAAATAGTACCCCCCATGTACAGGTTTTAGGGTGTCATGGAAAGTTACAGGGTTAAATACAGTGCTAGCGGATTAAATTCTCTGGACTTTCGGCCTGGGTTGTCAGGCAGGTCCCTCAAATTACAATCAATAAAATGACTTAATTAGGTAAAAATATTACATAAATATGCACGTAGAATTTAAATATATAAACATATTTATATATTTGAAGTCTACGTGTATATTTATGAAATTATTTATATAATTATGTGTATGTATATATATATATATATATATATGTTTCGTTTTATTTATTTATATATATATATATATATATAAAATTTAATTTAATTCTAAGTGTATTTTGATATAAATATATAATTTAATTTTAACTTTAAAATACAGTTAGAATAAAATTACATATATATAATTTTTTTATTATTTTTATTTACTTATTATTTATATTTTATAATAATATATATATATATATATATAAAAAAAATATATATATATATATATATATATATAGTTATATGTGTGTAATTTAATTATAAGTGTATTTCTATAAAAATATATTAATAAAAAAATACACTTAGAATGACATTTTATATATATATATATTTGTATTTATTTTTTATTTATTTTTATTTATTTTTTATTTACTAACCTTTGTTTTAATTTTATAGCAGCAGGGAGACTGCCTGTCAGTACTAGGTACATCTGTGGTCCCTAAGGACCATTTTTTATTGGACGTACCTAGTACGTCCGCGGTCCTTAAGGGGTTAAAAGAACACTTCAAGCACCATAATCACTACAGTGAGCTTTAGGGTTTAAAGGGACTCTATAGGCACCCAGACCACTTCACATCAATTAAATGGTCTGGGTGCCATGTCCCCCCTGCTTTTAAACCCTGCAGCTGAAAATATTGCCGATCTGTGGGAATGCAATGCTTTCACTGCATGGTTAACCTGCCTCTAGTGGCTATCATACTGACAGCCATGAGAGCCACTTCCATGAAATAAGAGAGTAAAGCAATTTCAATCAGATGGTCTCTAAGAAACATTGGTGCCCAAAACATATGAAATGCTAAATATACTGTCAGGGTTTTTCACTGAATTTCATATTTTGAACAAACTGAGACAAGAATTGCTGAGTCTGCAATTATTATCCAACTCAGCCATAATCATAATGCGGCTTTTATTGCATCAGTTGTGCCTTTCAGGTTTAATTTGCCAAATTAGTATTTTAGTGAATAACGCTGTGTATATTAAATAAAAAGATTTAATGCAATGTTTTAGAATTACTATTTTTTGCCTTTATTAATTTTTTCTGCCTTTTGCTAGGATTTTTATATTTGATGCCAGGCTATTTCATGAAGGCTCCTAGGAATCTTTTGATCATTTAGTCGTGATTCACGTCCCTCGTGTGACTCGCTGCTTTTCCATGGCCATTACCAGACTGGCTATTTTTACTGCTAGTAACAGCATGTTCTATATTTAGCTTATTTAACTCTGTGATTGATCTTCTTTGAAAAAAATCTATACTCAGTCACTGTCTACGCATAATGTTAACAGACCTATCAATAGAGGGACGTTTCTTGTTTGATATATGTTTACAGCAATTACTAAGCTTATCATTAATAATAAATAGTTATAAAAAAAAGGGACAAAAAAGATATATAGCTTTTCTATAAAAAAAAAAAAAAAAATCTCATCAGCTCTCCCTTAGCCTGCAGTAAATTCCCCTTTTAAAGTGTAAAGTGAACGTCAACAAAGCAAGCCAAGGAAAAAGAAATAGAAACCTTAACCTATTCTTTAAATAGTATGTAAAAAAAAAGCTCTTCTGTTAGAGAAGAAAAATACACACTGTCACACTGTTACTTCTCTTAGCTTTCTCAGTAGCTTCGTTCATGACTTTTAGGATGAAAACTACTGCCAAGTGCTGAATGATGTAACCGAAATCCACACTAGTCAGGAATGTTTGGCATCTGCTCAGCACTCGATGTACGTAATGGATGGAGTAGAATTGGCTGATATGTTTTAGCTTCCTGGTTCATGTGCTCTTCAAAGGAAGAATATTACTACTACTATTATTATTATTGGTATTTACATAGCGCCAACATATTCCGCAGACCTTTACAATATTATGGAAGGGGAAAATTTAACAATAAATAAGACAATTACAAAATCATACAGAAACAAGAGGTTGATCAGGATTCTGCTTGGACGAGCTTATAATTTAGAGGAGTGGAATATAAGGACACATTAGGGAGCACAACAAGGGGGACAATAAACAAACAAGGTGGGAAACTAACAGAACTGGAGGTGAGAGTCTAATGTGGCTCTTTAGAAGAGAGCCAGAGACAGATTTGTGACAGAAGTTACTTTGTGAGGCCATAAGCATTTCTAAACAGATGGGTTTTGAGAAGAGATGTGCATGGGCAAAAAATTTGGTTTGGCTAGGCACTTCCGAAATTCGGGACTTCGGCAATTCGGCACTTCAGAAATTTGGGAATTCGGGGTAGGGTTAGAGTTGGGGTTAGGGGTAGAGTTAGGGGTAGGGTTAGGGTTAGATTCCTGTCATTATTCCCATAATTTTCCCTCCCACTCTTGGTTTGCCACTTTTCAGAAATCCTAAGCACTTCAGCACTCCCGAAATCGGATGGTTCGGTACGGCATCCGAATGTCCGAATTTACATTCGGAACGAAGCGAATTGCACATGTCTAGTTTTGAGGCATTTCTTAAACGATTGAAAACTAGGGGAGAGTATTTTTATATTATTTTTATTTATTGCATTGTTTTAATGCATTATCTAAATCAAGCATTAGAAATAACAATAAATGTAAAAATGCTAAATAATAAAAATAGTAAGTAATGATGGGGGGGGGGGGGTCTTGCTTGAAGTTTATGCACAGGGTGACCGAAGCCCCGGGGCTGTCCATGCTCTTATCCTGTCTAATTATTTCATACTGATGTCCGTTGCCAAAGTTTATTTTAAACCTGAGCTGCCTCATACTATAAATCTCAGTCATATGTTTTCATTTCAAGGTTTAGCATAACCTGGAGGAGCTTGCGCCCATAATATCTTCAGATAACTGACAGATTGCAACCTGTACTGTGATATGTTTCATTAGGGCTGCCTTTGTTGGGCACCGGTACTATACAGTGTTATACTAGATATATAGGAAACTATGCTAGACAGGTTTACAGATTTTGACATGTAGGAGCAAGAGTCATGAGGGTCCTTCTGTGAACAAGTTAAAATAATGAGGTCTTTTGATATCTCCAGGCAAAACCTTGTATAATTTCTTACCAACTGAGGATCATGATGATCATAATAATGCTAATCATTGCATTACCTTTAAATTATCTTCTTATTTCAGATGTTTGTATTGTTGAAGTGGTTTGATGTGGTTTAAGGACCCGCCAGTTCCCTTTATTCTAACATTCCATAATACTTTAGTTTATCCCTACATCTATGGGACAGTGTTTCAATGATCAGTATTAGTGATTGATCTTACTTTAACAGATACCTAGATCTTTATGAGTACTTGATCTAGAACATACTTTATTAGGGAGTGAAAGTGGCGTAGTATGTATAACTTGTTTTTTCAAATGGCTTCAAAATCTATTCCATTTATCACAACTCACTGGCCTTTTCAGTAAGGTCTACAGCTAGGTTAGGCAATCTATGGCACTCCAGATGTTGTGGACTACATCTACCATAATGTTCTTACAGCCATAATAAGGGCAAAGCATCAGGAGAGATGTAGAAGAAAATTGCAGAGTACCATAGGTTGTCTACCCCTGGTGTAGAGTGTATTGATTCAAGTTATGGGTCTATTCACATTTGTAATTTTGGTTGTTTCTCTGTAGTCTTTGACACCACTTCTCAGTGATCCACGATTAACTTATTCTCCGGGTATTATGAATTTCAGAAAGTCCAAGTTAAAAATTTTATGATATTTATCAATAATAATATTTTTAATTACAGCCTACAAGAGCCTTGATAGTTAGTTTCTCTGCATGTCTGTTCATCGTGATTTTGCTGGGTTGTTCTGATTAATGGAGATTGTATAATAGTTTTTACTATTTTATTTTTTTCTTTACATTTCTGAGGATTTCCCCTTTTGAGATCAACCCTGTCTTTCATTTCATGTGCAACTGCAGTTTTGTTGGCTATAGTCTAGAGGTCTAGGCTGGTTATTAGGTGTCCTTTAGTTGGCATTCTTAGTAATTATCGGTGTGTATGTTGGGTGTGTGTTAGACCGGACTATTTCATCCCTAAAACTTTGTCTTTTAAACTATCAAAACTATTGAATGGCATATGAAGGGCATTACTTTGTCTAATTAGAATTAGCCACGATCTCCTGTTGATTAATACCCATTTTCTCTTACATTTCTGCTCTCTCTGGCCTGCTACTCTTACAGATTGGTCTTCAAAGTACATTGTTTCAATCAGCTCAGTTTGGTTATTATTCCATATAGCTGCCATCCACCTCTGTCCCTTCCATTACATGTTTAGCTTAGGTGCTACCTTTTAGTTAATTATACAATGGGGTGGTCAGGAATAAGGAAATATATTTCCATACTTATGATAATATCCTTTTCTTTATCAATGACCACAGCAGTATTATGTCCCCAGCATACAAGATGATCAATAAACATCCCATCCTATGCACGTCAGAGTCTTAGTTTGTTACCTATTCTATTTCTGTACCGTAGAGGGTATCCATTAATTCAAGCTGCCATGGTTATTGATCAGAAAAAATAGATTTGAATAAAGAAAGTATGGAAACAATTTTTGGAGTATTATATCTTAAATATTAAAAAAAATACAAAAGATTATAGCATTTTTTGAAATTAGTCAACTTTGAAAGTCTTGTGTATTGGGCCAATAATCATAGCTAACTGTTTTTTTTCAATAATCGCAGTTTTTAACAAAAGCCCTATTTACTGCAATTTAAAATGATTTTATATCATTCAGAAGCTCAGAAGATGTCACGTTTTACTGTATATTTCTACTGTTTTCTAAAAATACCAGTTAAATGATATCCATAAGAGTGGTGCCTTTTCCTATATGATCAAACTATGTAAGTCTATTTTATTTTTGTACTGTAAAGTAAATACAAAATAAGTGGAGCACTTTCAAATAATAAATATTGTAGCAATGCATGTACGCGAAGAACACTGCCAACAATTTACTCCGCAAAAGAATAAAAGATAGCCCCAATCTTGTTTCTTTATGTTCAAATACAACATGTAAAATCACAGAACATAAAGCATATAATAGATCTATTACATCTAATTACCAGTGAAATTTGTATTAAATGGACATTGTGTCTGAAGAGTTACGTGTCATGTTCTTTTCTGTGTTCATTGCACTTGGGATTTGCATTACAAACGTCGACAAACCTAATTGTGGCCATTTACTATCCTTTTATCATATATGTTGTTACCGGTGTTTTCTGTGATTATACAGAGATATTAGGTTTATTACTTGATAACACTCCACTTATTTTGTATTTATTTTTTAGCGGTTTAGACGGGAATAGTTAACTAAAGTATTTTATTTAACCATAGTGTTGATTCGGTCTCGTGTGTGATCGCAATTTATTATTTTTATTTCATTTTTCTCCTCCGGCTGTCAATTTTCCAATAGTGCAGTATGTTTAAATATCTCAGATGTTCAAGTGCATAAGAAAAGTAAAAAAAACAAACAAAAAAAAAAAATCTTCATCCATGTCAGGAAGCTATTTGTAATTTCTATTTATTTTTTCACATATCGGTACATTTTCTGTTTTCTTTTATTTCTTCTGATCTTTGATATCCCATATTACACAGTGTTTTCCTTGGTTGTACCTTAGGTTTTCTAAAAAACAATAATACCTTATGTTTTATATTTTGACTTTTTTTTTGTTTTGTTTTATATATGAATATCCTTGCGTGAAAAATACGAAATTTGAAAATGGAAAAAACAAAACAATGTTTAACAGAAAATGTATCTAAATAGTTTTTTATTCTTAAATTGTTAAATTCCTGTTCCCTCACATATGATATGGATACATATCATAAGGCTATGGTTCTGAAAAGGTTTATTTTGATAGCTCTTTATTGCGCGTTAGCATTTACAAAGGATACATAGCCTTTTTGGGAACTAATTTTGGGACTAGTTACACCATATCCCATTCCAGCGTCATCCAATGCTACTGCCATAAGCAACATATTCACTATAGCTCTTCACCTACTGTTCCATTGTGTCATAAATGTTTTGTTAGAATTAAATGTTTGTGTGGTTCACTATTGTATAGCACTGCAGAATATATTGGGACTATATCAATAATTGTAATTATATCGTTTAGTATAGTGGCTATTCTGCCAAGTGTGTTTGGGAACAGTCTACCATTTTTTTTGTCAAGTTTGTGGCCTCTGTATGCCGCAATAACCCTGGATTTATCAAATCGATCTCCATATATAGCCAGTTAGTTAGACTGTAATAGTTATATCAGTTTTAACTTTTAGTATGGGTCCTGTGTGTTCAAAAATGACTCATTCTTCTAAAAGAGTCCATTGTACAGCCCTACAGAATTTGCTGGAGCTATATAAATAATAAAATAATAATAATATTAATAATAAAATGTTTTATTTGTACTGTACAAGGTCATTTTCTATATAACCGTCAATAACTATTTTGACACATGGCAACAAAGTCCAAACAAATAAGATGGTGAACTCTAGAGGACATACATTATTATTAAACCCATGAACTGTAGATGGTTGCTAGATTTCCTCTTTTTATAATGGGATATAACTTTAGAAGCATCATACAAACTTGGTCTGCAGGTGATGTAACTCTACAACAGCTCGGGATCTTCTTTCTAGATCTGTCTCTTGTGGGGAATATTAAATTAAAACATACGGCCAATCATATATCATAGGATAGTGCTTAAATCTGTTTATAAAGTATATCTCCGTTCTAGTACCCTTCCACTGGCAAAACCAATGAAGGAGTAATGCATTATGGGTCAATCTAGCTGGGCTTAATATATTGCACACATTCCTAATCATCAAAAATACAATTTCAGCTATTATCAATGATCAATTATATCACTGCTGTTCAAATACTTCTTATATAGCCACAATCCACAGAGTATGGAGCTGGGCCTACCCGAGAGGGTGCACGGAGTCCGTTTTCGCACACAAACCACTGTAACAAATATTGCAGAATGTCCTCAATTCTTTAGTATCTTTAGTATCTGGATATACTGGAGTATTAAATATTCTGTTCTACTTTGTCAGGCTCCCAGATACAAACAGGCTCATGTCCACATAAATGAATCAACATATATTCTTTATTATTTATGACAATTTGTCATAAATAATCCCGTGTCTTCTCACATGCAGTTATGATGAGGTCACTGTATAGGCCAATGTTAACCTTGTTGTTCAAAATAATATCTTCAGTCTCAATCAGCCTTGTGAACACTTTTTTGACACTCTATAAACCACAAGTCTTAGCTGGTTCTACAGCTGTAGCTATAGGTGACTTATTGCATAAAAAATAATATAGTGTGTAAGTAGTAAAAACAAAATGTCCTCCAGCAAGAGTACATTTGTGGTAAATCAATATTCCCGATTTCCAGCTGTTGTGAAATCTCAACTATCATGGTCCTGGGAATTTTAGTTAACGTGAAAAAAATTCTGCCTTGACAGTGGGTGAAGGGTCATGGGATTTTTAGTTTAAAAACAACAACTAAGAGAGTAGAGAGCTATCTTTTGGCATTATCTATTCTAGAGTATCATGACAGGACGTAATGGTAAGAGTTGCATGCAGGTATGTGTTCTAGATCACCTTTGACTTTGTCTACATTCTAGAATGGGTGAGACCCTTCCAACTAGCGATCATGGTCTAGTCGAGAGGACAAAATATTTAATTTCCTCTTCCGCATTTCTCTTTTGCGTTCACTCATGGGCAGTGGAATATGATGTCATATCCGTGTGCCCTGGCCTTTTATATACTGATGTTACTGAAGAAAGGGAAAGAGTTAAGTGCCAGTAGAAGCACAAATCTCCTGCTCCTCTTATTATAACACCAGATATTGTTTTAGACGCGGGATACAAAGCAACCAAACAAAGTTCCAGGAGAAATTATGTTTATTCCAAGTCAGGTTGCAGCAATGTAAACCTGAGATAATTGGGCTGACAGGCTGTGTGAAAAAAAGAAAGTGATAAAGCAATTTAAAACAATTAAGCAGCGCGCATTCTTATAATCTTTTGTGTTATTCCATTCATATGTATGCTTCATTGAAGGGCACATTTATTATTTTTAATTATGAGACATATTAATCATGAATATGTTACATCAAATATTTCTAAATCGTTTAATCTCAATATGTCGTTTGCTTTATTTTACGCAGGCCCGCCAATGCGACAAGCAGGACGGGATTACAAAAGCCAGAAGTGAAGCTCATGTGAGTTTGTAAACTCTGTTTCTACTTTCAGTCCACCATCTATCTATATCTACGTCTATGTATACCACTATGATAACATGTTATTTTTATTTATTTTTTTATAATTCTTTATTTTTGCAGTGCATGCAGATAATATACAAATAAGCCTGCAATGCCCCAACAGCCAAGACAAGCACGTCAACAATAACAGTAGCATAGACATGTGGCATTGTGCAAGTACAGCACTAATTTTATTTTTTGGTATATTCAGGCTAGTCATATATGTCTAAAGTGAGTAGGATCAACTAAGTGAAAATGTTATCAAGACGTTCTAGACATAGATATTAGTTGCTTAAAGATAGTACTGTATATGAGAACATGCTTAACTACGTAGTGTATCTAAGTGAAAGTAGTGTTATGTTATACTGCACTTTAGTAGAAGCATAAGGAAAAATAAAAAATAGACAAGTAAGAACACTGTGCATATGAAATTGAACAGTAGGTTAATGCATAATTAAGTGGAATGCATGGGGAGTATTAATATAGAGACCCCTTAGGCAGGCTAGCCCTGAGTCTCACATAAAAGGAACAGGTAAGATTATCTCTAAGCATATGATACTGGGACATTATGCCTTAGGTAGAGAATGCAATAGCTCAACTTTGGGTTTAACCTATGCCCTGCATGGGCAGCACAGAGTCCCTCCACGAGTATCTCAAGTCCAGGTTGATGGTCACAAGAAGGTAGTCGAGTAAGCTTTCTGGTGTCTGCCTGTTCCCTCTTGGTTCCGAGAGCCTGTATGGAGCATGGTGCCAGGTGATGGCTTTGCGGTGGTCAATGGGCTGCATTTTGCCTGTCTCTGTGTCCAGTAGTGTCGTTGCGCTACTCGGGCCTGGGCATGGTAGGCCGCACCTGCCGCCCGCATGGTCACTGACTATGTAGTCACAGAGACGTTACTGCAGGGCTCAGACGTGCTCTCAGCTTGTCCCAAAAGGCCTCACAAATGAGGTCAAGGTGCTGCAGGACATCACTGAACCCTCCGTCAGAATCATAGTAGCACGCGGCGTCCTCCATCTTGCATGTAAATAGTTTAAGCTTTGCCGCTGCAGTACTGCTGCGCCTGCAACACAGGACATGGGCTTCTGAGAGGTAGACCAGAATTACCCCCTCGGTCCCAAGGGGGGGGAAATGGGGCACCAAGCAGCTGCACAATACAGGAGCGGAGAGTGACCGCCTCTCCACTCCCTCGGATGTTCAGGGCCTTCAGGCCGACACACAATCCCCTTCAGTGTAAGCATCTGAAGACAGAAAATAATTGTATGGGAGTAACCCCACGCTGCGCAGGAGTACCACCGAGGTAGGTAGCGTGATCGCTTGGGTTAAATTGCAGGATTATAGCTCGTTTAGGAGGTCATAGTCTGGAGCTGCATCGAGATGCGTCCGACCAGCATGACGGCCAGGCCCCCATACTCGCAGACACATACCTACTGTGAATATAAAAAAACATTCTCGCATACAAATAATTAACAAACCACATACTGACATGCACATACAAAAACAAGCCCCACTCACATAGTGTATGCATAACTAACAACACTAAGTCATTACATATACCCAACAACACATTTGTCCTCAGCTAGCCACACTCACATTATTGTAAAGGAAGGAAGGAGTAGTGAGAGAGAGGTGGGGAGGAGAGATGTGATGCTAAATTATTGGGTGGTGTTGGGAGGGGCAGGAAAGCTGTGATGCACAGTCTCCTTTTTGCTCATTCTGCACGGGATTAACTGTTACAGGCAGTGGATTACTGAGTGGAAGTTCAGTAAATGGTGGGGCTTACTTCACATTAACGTTATGTGCTTCTCTGCTATGACTGGGTGCCTGGCATGCCATTAACTGCTTGCTGATGGCACCTACCGTAAATAAAATAAAGGAATCTTTAAAAAGCCACGCTCTGGAATCCTGCCTGTGCCCAGGCCGAGCCACACTGTGCATCTGCTAAAAAAAAAATTTAAATATTGTATTGTATTTCCCCAAATTTATACATAGATATTGACATTCCATTATTATTAGCATTTATGTATCACCAACATTTTCCGTATCGCTTTACAGTTATGCAAGGTGGATATTCCACAAGTAATTACGGCATTCAAACACAAAAACAATATTAACAGACACAGGAGGTGCAGAGGGCCCTGATCAAACAAGTTGTTTTTCTTTTTTTTTTTTTTTTTCCAAATTTTTATTGGGTAATAATGCAGGATTACAACATCTGTTTTGCAATATACAATCTGGTATCAACGAACTTTTGTATGTTATACATTGTTACCATGCTTGAGAGTCCAGAACGGTTGTGGTAACTGTTCGAGCACGTTACGTTTTAGCATTCGTTTGTGTGCGGTACCCTTGGACAAAGTACTCGAGTGCGGTTTGATTTTAGACGTTGTTCACTTTGCATGGGTGGTGTGTTATTAACATACAGGTAGAAATCAAAACATAATATAACATAACATAACAGTACATTGGGGTGGGTGATGAACTTTCCTGGTATAGCTAGTATGTACCATCGTGGCGTAGAACCTCATCAGTGTGGATTGTTGCGTTGTGGTAGATTTGTCTGTTTGGGTATGTGGGTCTATAGTCTTTGTGGAGGTGTGTTACGTATGAAAGTTAACCATGGTTCCCAAGTGGCCGTGTAGTCGTGGTATTTGAGTGAAAAGGAGTACGCTAGCTCCTCCATTTCTCTGATAGCGTCTACCCTTTCTATCCAGGCTCTGATCGTAGGGGGTGCAGTTTGCTTCCATTTGGTTGGGATGATGGCGTTTGCTGCCGTTAACAGGTGGTTGATCAGTGTGCGTGAGTGTTTGGGTAGGGGGCTGGGGTACATTAAAAACAACAAGACTTTAGGGTCTTGGGGTAGTTTGTGTCCCGTGATGGTGCGAATAACGTTTGTTATTTGGGCCCAGAATTTACTTATTATTGGGCATTGCCACCAGATGTGGCTTGTGGTTCCCTCCGCTTTCTTGCACCTCCAGCATGTGTTTGGTGCATTTGGGAAGAATCTGTGGATGCGGGATGGTGTGTAGTGCCATCTGGCTATTCGTTTGTAATTGCTCTCATGTGTGCTGTTGCTTTTGGATGTGCGGAAGACATTGGCGAATATTTTATACCACTCTTTGGTTTGCATTTGTATCCCCAGCTCTGTTTCCCACTTGGATGTATAGGTAGGTAGGGGTTCGTCTTTTCGTCGGCATAATTGTTTATAGAAGGAGGATATGTGGCCCCTCCGGATGCTGTGTTGTGCGCATTGGGTCTCGTATAGAGTGTGGGTTCTATGGCCTTGTGATAGTGGTGGATTTGTGCTTAGAAAGTGTTTGAGTTGCTCGTGTCTCAGTCGCGTCATTCCCGTTTGCGATTCAATGGGTAGTAGTTGTTCAAAGGGAGTGACCCCCTGGTCCGTTAGGACATCTCCCAAAGTCAGTGTATGAGCTTGTTTGGGGAAGTTTCTAAACGCCCTGTGGTCCATGCCTGGGGGGAAGGAGGGGTTTCCTGTTAGTGGGTAGAGTGGTGATGGATGTGGTGCTAGGTGTTTGTCTCTCCTAATGGTCGACCAAAGTTTCACTGTGTGTGTGATTGTGGGGTGAGAGGTCCCTGAGCGCGTTTTCGTGTCGGTCTTGTTAGCGAGCCAGGGTATGGCATATATCGGTGTCGTGAGAAAGCTGGCCTCAATCTGTACCCATTGGGCTGTGTTTTTAGGGTATGACCATTCATAAATCCTCGTGAGGATAATGGCTTTGTGGTATGTTTCCAGATCTGGTAGGCCTAGTCCTCCTCGTTGTTTGCTTTTTGTGAGGCATTCGTATTGTAGCCTCGGGGGTCTACCTGACCATATAAAGTTGTTGAATAGTCGCCTGGAGAGGGAGAAGAAAGGTCTTGGTATTTTAATAGGCAAGGTTTGCATTATATATAGAAACTTGGGGAGAATCATCATCTTTAAGATGTGGATTCTGCATAGCCAACCGAATTGTGGTTTATTCCACGATTTGAGTTCGGTATCTACTTTGTTTAGAAGGGTTGTGTAGTTAAGGGCGTATAGGAGTGACAGTGTGGTTGTGAGTTGGACTCCCAGATATCTAATTGACTCTGTGGGCCAGTGGAATGGATAGGTGATGCGGAGCGCTGTTTGTGTGGCGTTCGGTATGTTGAGCGGGAGTATCTCGCTCTTGCCCATGTTTATTTTGTAATTGGAGACTGCATTATATGCCTCTATCTCTTGTATAAGGTGTTGTAGGGATGTTTTTGGATTAGATAGGGTGAACAGTAGGTCGTCCGCAAAAGCGGAGACCTTGTATTCCTGCTCTGCTATTTTAATGCCAGATATGTTTGGGTTGTCTCTTATTCCTTGTAGGAATGGCTCCATGGTGAGGATGAAGAGTAGTGGGGAGAGGGGACAGCCTTGCCTAGTACCATTGGTTATTTGTACGGTATCTGACAATTGGCCGTTCACACGCACTTTTGCTCCCGGTTTTGAATATATGGCTGCGAGCCATTGTATCCATTGTTGGCCGAAGCCCAGAGTTTTCATTGTGGCCATGAGGAAGGACCAGTCCACCCTATCAAATGCCTTCTCGGCATCTATAGTTAAAATGAGGCTCTGGGGTCCTTTTCCTTTGGCTGTGTGTATCAGGCTTAGGAGTTTCGTAGTGTTATGTTTGGCCTCCCTATTCGGTACAAACCCTGATTGATCCGGGTGTATCAGTCCGTTCAGGAGTGGTTTCAGCCGGTTGGCAAGAATCTTAGTGAAGATTTTCAAATCACAATTTATAAGAGAGATTGGGCGGTAGCTCCCACACTCCTCTAGGTCCTTTCCGGGTTTGGGGATCAATGTGATGTGGGCTTCTAAGGATTCTACTGGGAGTTTGTGTCCTAAAGCCAGTGAATTGAAGGCATTGACAAAGGGTTTGCAGAGCAGATTTGTGAATGTTTTGAAGTACTTGGTAGTGAAGCCGTCGGGTCCTGGGCTTTTGCCTATGGGGAGGTTTTTAACTACCAGTCTAAATTCTTCGTCTGTTAGGGGTCCTTCAATGGATTGTCTTACGTTTGTGGGGATCGTTTGCGTGATTCTGTTAGAGAGGAAATGGGTTATTTCCTCTGGTCGTGGTGGCGTCTGTCTGAGGTTATACAGGTTTGTGTAGAAGGCGTGGAATTCTTTAAGTATGGCTGGGAGTAGGTGAGTGCGTGTCCCGTCTTTGCTTTTGATCGTGGTTATGTATGTGCGTTGCGTGTTTTGCTGAAGGGCTTTGGCTAGCATTCGCCCGCATTTTCCTCCTTGAGTGTAAAATGAATATTTGGTGTGAGTGAGTGATCGTTTGATTTTGGAATTTAGCAGGGTTTGTAGGGTTGTGCGTTTGTCAACTAGTTGTTTATAGAGGTCTAGGGAGAGGTTGTGTTTGTGTGTCTGTTCAATTAGGCGGATATCTCGCAGGAGATCATTGATTTGGGCATCTTTCTTTTTCTTGAGTTTGGAGGCTATAGCTATGATGTGTCCTCTCATTACTGATTTATGAGCTTCCCAGGTTATTGTCGGGGATATGGACGGGGATGTATTTTCTTCAAAGTAGTGTTGTAGTGTGGTTGTTAGTGTATCAACCGTGGCTGTGTCATTCAGCATGGTGTCATTTAGTTTCCATTGGAAGTTGTTGGGTGTCAGAGTTGGGATTTGAAAAACTAGAGACAAGGGGGCGTGGTCCGACCATGTGATCAAGCCATACTCACATGATTGAATTAAGTGTATATGTCTGTGAGGAACAAATAGCATGTCCAGACGAGAGTATGTGTGTTTGACCGTTGAGTAAAAAGAGTAGTCTCGTATTTGTGGGTGTATGGTTCTCCAGCAGTCGAATAAATAAGATTTGTCTAATAGTCTGGACATCGTGGTTCTGGTAGCGGCGTTGTATGTCGTGGAGCTGGAAGTAGTGTCTAATTCCGAGTCAAGGGACATGTTTAGGTCACCTCCGAGTATAAGAATGCCTTCGACATGTTTTTCGATTATGTTGAGGTATTTGCGTAGGTGCTTGTGTTGTTTGGTATTTGGCAGGTAGATATTTGCGAAAGTTACAATTGTATTGCCAATTTTGCCTTTAATTATGAGCAGCCTACCGTTTGGATCTGTGTATTGGTATGTGTGGGTATATGGTGTTTGTGCCCCTATGAGGATGGCTACTCCTCTGGATTTTGCGTCCGTGTAGGAGCTGAAGTATCCTGTGGGGTAGTGTCTGTTGCGAATAGTGATGGTGGAGTCTGCTTTTAGGTGGGTCTCTTGAAGAAATGCCACATCAGCTCTAAGTTTGTGGAGTTCGTGTAGCGTTAGTGCTCTTTTTGTCGGGGAGTTAAGACCCCTGACGTTGAGGGTAACTATGTTGAGGTTTGCCATGATGGAAATTGTGTGAACTGTGTGATCTGTCGTTCACGTATTGTGTACCAGGGGAAGATAACCGATAACAAATAAACTATGTACAAAATTGTGTGTAGGCAGGTGGAGCAAGAAATTGAGATGTTTAATGTTGACGGGAAGGGTTGGCAGCCTTGTCTGTCGGTGGCTTTCCCCTTGAGAGGCTTTAGGGCCTATGGGGAGTTGCACGTGCACCGCTTTGGCCGCTCAAGTCTTTCCACCTGCTATCGAGGTTTTATTTTCGTGGGAGGTGGTAGGTTGGGGTGTTGTTATTAAATGTCTCGCCAGAGACGGGCAATCCTATGGATAGTTGTCAGTAGTGAGTAGTGGATCAGGCAAGGGGATCAAATTAGTGGGACAGGTAAGATTATGTGTTTGTGGAGCAGGTCGATTTTAGAGGAAATGATCCAGAAAAGAGGGGGGGGGCTGGAGGCTGCTTGCCTCTAGTGGGTTGCCTAATGGTCTAGGGGTAGGCTTTATGTGTCCCCTTGGGCATGGGCTCTGCCTCGTAGTTGGAGGAGGCTTGCATCTCAATTGCTTGCTCGGGTGTGCATAAGAAGTGTAAAGTGAGACAAATATTATTCCCATAACAATTGCAGCTCTCCCAAAGAACATAAAATCGAAAACCATCCATTAATTGACATATCATGGTATACATTTCCCGGTAAGACAATCAATCAGATCTCAATTGACCTCAGGGGCATTTCTTGAGGTTGTTGCCAAGGGGAAGAGGGGTTAGTAGTGAGGGAGTGGGGAAGGGGACAGGGGAATGGGAGTGGTATACCGTTACCCGAGATGCCACTCAGTGTCTTTATGAGAGTGGTAGATTATTAGGCTAAAGGGGGAGGGGGGGCTGGGGTGATTTAGGGGGTGAGGGGAGGCCTTATGCTTGTCAGCAGAGCCTGTACATATACATTCATTTACGGTAAAACATACATATTTATTATTATTTTTTTATTTTTTATTTTTTTTCTCTCATACCCCTCCGGAGTGCCATTGCCTCATGTTTCTGTGTGTCCTCTTCCCTGCTGACAGTATGTGGTCTTTCAGTCCAGAACCAGTGTCATCTAGGAGTGTCGGTAGAGTGGAGAGTCTCCTTTTCATAGAGCTCGCGGACCGAAGCAAGTCTAGGTTGTCGTGGGAGATGTCCTGATTTGTATGTTTTCTTGTGATGCTCAGGTATTGTGTCCCTAGGGTGGGGCCTTGAGATGCAGTCTCTGTGGGTAGATTTCTGGATTATTAGTGGTCGTAATAGATCTCTGGATCTTAGTTGGGTCCTTGTCGATTGGGGCAGTGATTTCTTAGTTGGTGGTCGTCGTCATGTGCCTTGGGTCCCATCGAGGGGCCGGGGGGCCTGCTCTCGGTCTGGGACCTCCTTGGTGGTGCGTTTGGTCGTTGCTTCTGCGTTTGGATGGCGTCTGCCCTCTTTGCTTGTGGGACATCTGCGAGCGATTTGGGGGTTGTAGCGGCCCATACCAGTCTGGTATGTATATGTCCGGTAGGTCTAGGGCCGAGGTGAAGGCCCGCACATCCTCTGCTGAGGATAAAGTTGCTGTTGTACCATTGTGCGTGGCAGTAAGGGCCAGAGGGAATCCCCAGCGGTATCTTATGTTCCTAGAGCGCAGTAGGTCTGTGAGGGGTTTCATTGTCCTTCTCGCCTGCAGCGTCATCCAGGAGAGATCTGGGAAGATTTGCACAGGTATCTCATGGAATAGCAGCGGTTGTGTCGTCTGGCGGAGATTTCTGAGTATGTCTTCTTTAATAGAGTAGTAATGCAGTCTGCACACTATGTCTCTGGGTGCCTCTGCCATGGGGTTTCTGGGCCTGAGTGCCCTGTGGGCTCTGTCCAGTGCTATAGGGGTTGATACATCTCTTTGCAGTATAAGATTGAATAGCTCTTGGAGGGTAACCTTTAAATCTTCCCCCTCTTTTTCTGGGATGCCCTTTATTCTTAAATTGTTTCTGCGCCCTCTGTTATCTAAGTCATCTATCATTCTATTCATGGATGCTATTTGGGCATTTTGTGCTGTTAGTGTACTTTGGAGATTTTGCATTTGTGTGGCTGTGTAGTCTTGGTCACTTTCTAGTAAGCTGACCCTTTCACTGACCTGTGTTACTTCTGCTGTGATGTCGTCCATTTTTTTCTGGAAAGTCACCTCCAGTTTTTGCAGCATGTTTGCAAGGTCTTGCTTAGATGGGAGGTTTCTCAGAATCTCCCTCAGGTCTTTGTCTTTTTCCCTGTCCAGATCCAGTGACAGTGTGTCAGATGCTGCAGGGCTGGATGGGGGTGATTGGGAGAATTCATCCGGCGCCATATTGGGGCCTGCATGGTCGGGCTGCTGGTTGCCGTGATCTTTGAAATATTTGGTGAGCGCTCCGGTTTTCGGCCTTTGCAGTTTGCCGGCTTGTTGGGAGGCTGTGGACATTCTTTTGGGGTGTCCCATTTTGTTAATTAAGCCTGATGGCTGCGGATTGCCCGTCGCGGCGCTCGGAGCTCCGTTTTCAAGCGGCCATTCTCGGTCGCGGCTAGCTCCGCCCCCACAAGTTGTTTTTCTTTGTAATGTCTACTCAATTATATTTGACATTCCTAATTTGATTAGATATTTAATGTATGAAGATATTTCATTTTAAAGAAGCTTGCTTTTATCTTCTGATATACAACTTAACATGTCTGAAGCATTAAAAATGTATTTGGTTGTTTTTAGGACATACGGTAAAAGCTTAGTTGTTATAGGAGTATTACATTTTCTGGTTTACCATTGTGGGTGACTTACATAAATAATACATCTCTGAAAACATTCACTTTTATCTTTCAGGCGTATCCAGTGTACGTAATTGTAACAAAAATGTTTACAAGATTTCTTGGCATTTAGACATTTTTTGACAAATATAATGGCATATTATAAGCCACAAAAGGGATCTTCACTAAAATGTTAATTGTTAGAAAATCCCGTAGGCACTATACCTAGCCGTTCAAACATCTGGACTCCTTACCTGTGTAGACACCTTCCCTCCCCCGTCCATGAAAATAGAGGTGAAGGAAACTAGAAAAGGGAAGTATTTGTGTTATTTTATGTGTGTGTAAATTAGTGTGATTGTGTGGGTATGTTAGTGTGGGTATGTGTGTAAGTCAAAGTGATTATATGTTACCAAGGGGTTTCTTGGAATTAGATAAGGTAGAGATAAATAAAGGTCTAATGTTGAGACATTTTATTGGTTTTCATGATTATTGCTCCTTATTTAGCAATTTACCATAGAATCACACATGATTTGTGTTAATACATTTTGGTTTGACCACATGGACCAATAACTCTCCAACAAGTTTTAATAAATGCATTCTTGGTGGAAGTTCATGACTGCGGAACTGGAGATATTTCTGAGTTTTGCTTCCAATAACACCCAATTTGGTTGATTTGAAGACTATCTTGGCTACTTTTGGATTTACGCTTCTTTTGCAGCTTGATGGCCTCAGACAAGAATTTTGACATTCCATGTATCTTTCTATCCTAAATTCTAAACATGTCTTCTTCCTCTTTGTAAAAAGTACAATAGTTCCTGGAGATATGTTTACTGAAATGGGCTAGAACAACTACCAAAAATTATAAAGTTTTGCTCAAACTTGTATTGACTGTACACCATTTTCTTGGAAATGTTAGATAGAATTGAAGGGAAACTTAGGCTGTGCTTCCATCCCTACCCCAGTTATGTCAAATCCAGCATATGTCTCTTTACCTAATGTTATATTCCACCAGTCTCGAACTGTGCAAAACCTACCATGAGTTCACTCAACTCTACGTATAAGCAGCAAAATTTACAACTAAGGAGCACAGTGTAACCAAGAAATGAAGGAATCCTCAAATTCTTGATTACACTCTGGACCCAAATTGTACATTTTGCTCTCTATACCACTTATGCTGAAGGACAAATAATAAGTAGTCATATAGTGCAGTATTCTGGCTATATTTTGTCATTAAACTCATACTATACATATATAAATATACACCTAACTTTTACACTGTTTTTTGTTATATTGTTAAATAATTGTGCATGCCTGTCTTATTGACTTATTATTATTATTATTATTTTTGGTTGCTTTTTAATCATAAAAGAATAGTGTATTTTAAAAGTAAATTAGAATTTTTAACAAATTTTGAATTTAGATAAAAAAAATCTGATTATTAGATATGAAGTTATAAGGTGGAAAAATCAACACTTATTTGTATTCTTAAAAATATGCATTTATTGCTTTTTTAAAGTTTTATTGATACAATTCAAAATCTATCACATTCGAGTTTATAGAGTATAAAAAAAAATATGTTGCCTTGTGATTATATTCTCCTTGCTCTGAGAGTCAAGTTCAGAGTCTGGTTTTTTTTTAATATAATTACCTTCGAATGCTATTATTTAAGAAACATGCTTACACTTGTTCCCCATTCAAAAGTCATTTAGCAGCCCAGCCCCCAGCTTGTTCAGTTCCTTTGTCTGAGAAAAACTTCAAAGGATGTAAATATGTGAAGGTGCTATTTTTAACCCTTAGCTTTATTCGTCCATTTTTGTAGTGGTTGCTCTAGATTTCATAGTTCCTGTTGGATGCAATGTTATATTGTTTTATTTCCATTAACCTACGCTGTGATATTGGAGTAGGGGAACCATGCAGACATAGGAGGTATATAACTAGAGGCAGTTGCTCATACACCACAAATGTCCTATATTTGGCAGGTCAGTCCTGATTTCGGGCCCCATACACAACCATCCCGCATTAATACTCAAATAAATTCAGTAAGAGCTGTTTATTAAACACATTTACGCAACATTAAAAACTCAGGGCTATTAGGCTCATACACAGCTCGCCAGCAGCATTTTACACACGGGCTATCCCAAATGCCTTTTTGAGAGAGTCTGCAACCCCAAAGTGGCATTATGTCACTACCAAACTCCCTTTGTCCTGTTAACTTCATGTCCTGCTTGAATACCTTCCAGTATGAGAGATATGCCAGTGGTCCACAGTAAAACAAAATAAAAAAAAATACAATAATAAAAAACTGCACAGATTTATGAATTTGTTTTATCATGGCATGTTTAAAGAACCCTATAACTTAAACATTGTGCTATTACGGGATGACTGGAAATGAGGCATGGAACTGGGAGGCTATGAGTTAGTTAGCATACAGGATTTGTGGACTTCTGCCTAAGAGCCTAATTCCTATGTTTATCAAATCAGCTGAAGTTGAAAGGGGATGTTTATTAGATGAGGACTGCAGGAATGAAGCAACAGCCCTTGACAGTTTGGGTTTATGGATGGTTGGTGGTCCATAATCTCAATATTCACCAAGTCTGCAAGTCTGGACTGGCCACTGGAATATTTACCACCAGACTACAGGATCTGAGACTGATCAAGCTGCCATTTTATTATGTGTATGTATGATGTGTGCAAGTGTTTGCTTGTGGCTGTGGGGTGAAATTACACATTGATGCCAATAGATATACGTACATAATACTGAAAGGCACAGTCCTTTTCTATGGCACTCATCCAGAGAACCAGCTCCATAGAATTTCTCACAGAGCCTACAGCTGACATTCCAGGTGGAATTTAGGTCATTTTATTCCTCTGCTCAACATCTAAGTTCCTCAGAGACTTTCTCAAAGTTTTTCTCATAACATATAATGAACTAACCAAAGCATTGAAAGATACATGTAAACATTTGGCCATACACTAATTGCAATCACCATAGTTACACATAACTATGTAATTAAGTGCTAACAGTGATATTACATAATAATGTTACAATATATTATGTTAAAAATTGATAAAATATGTTAAACAAAATACAAATACAATGCTTAACTTTTCTTCTAATTTTATGGGAATTTTTGTTGCACTTTATGAAACCTGTCTGACTTTTCCATCGGTTGGTTTTTTTTGTCATTTTTTTTTTCAATTTTATTTTATGCCATTAGATTGGATTTATGAATTTTTGCTCCATTTGCAGAAAAGTGATGGAATTTTTCCCGTCACTGTTAATTTGACGATATTCTGAAAAGGAAATTTCTGCGGATAACTGGTGGAATTTAATATAAAAAAAAAACATTGCTCGCTAGATCACAACAAATACAACCAAACTAAAGACAAAATGTGGCCATCACTTTTCAGAACCCTTTGATAAATATCCTCCAATGTGTTTAAAAATGAATGTTTGTTTAATTCTGTGGAGGGAACTATTATACTATATTTTCTTCTTATAATGCTCATGTATAGGTTTAAAAGAGATACAAGTTTAAAATTTAGAATGGTTTACAATGTATGAATCTGGGTGATTTTTTGTTGCATTCCATATTGTTTTCTTAACATTGATTGTAAACGTTTTAGTTGCTTTTTTGCATTTTAGTGGATTTAAATTTCACATGATTATTTTGCTTTTGAAATTCCAACTGCATTTGCTCATCAGTGTTTTATATTGAACAATTTGCATGCATTTTAGGAAAACTTACTGCTTTTAATAATTTCTTTTAATTCTCTTTATTGAATAACATTCAGAACAATGATACAGAACAACTATACCGCGGCAAATACATTATTCTGCAGAGATGTGCAAGATCGATTTTTATCAGTCTCATTGAGGAAAAGGTATTTATATGACTAATACAACTATCTTATAATAGTAACGTAAATTATTTTAATGTGTTAGCGATATTTAACATAAATTCAACTTTTTCATAGAGATACATTAATCTATCTGTCTGTCTGTCTGTCTGTCTGTCTATCTATCTGTCCGTCTGTCTGTCTATCTATCTGTCTGTCTGTCTGTATATCTATCTATCTATCTATCGTTTCAGTAACCCTGCTGTTTCTGGTCTACAAACATGTCTTTGAGAATTGTTTTTTCTGGGTTACTTAGCAATATGAATAAACCAGTTAGAATACAACTCTGATTAAACTTTATAAATAATTTGTCTTCTTTCTCTCCTTGCAACTCTAATTAAACAATAGTCATAGCAAGGCCCAGTGCAACGTGCTAAAGATAATGTACGTTATTTTCAAAGAACAATCAACTGAAAGTTAGAACATCGATGTTTATTTGCTCAACAACCAAATTGAAGTTAATGAGCAACAGAATCTTAAAATTTCTAAAATAACCAATAAATAAATAAATATATTTATATATAGTGGACATGGACAATTGTACTGATTATAGGCATTGCTGGGATGGGTGGCTTTGGAAGCTGAAGCCCCAGATCTAGGAATTTTCAGCCTGAAGAGATAGTAAAGGGGGCAGGAGGATATTATATATTTTATTTATTTTGCTGTTATTTTTTTATTTTACTCACAGCAGTAGACTTAATTTAAAAAGAAAGATTGCAAGTATAGTGCTTTGCAATGCTAAAGGACGTGCTAAGGAGTGAAACTTTGCAGCACACCCTCCATTAGTTACGTAGCATGATATAATCACATTGAATATCTGCCTGAAGAAGTGGTTTTATCAGAATCTGTACAGATGTTCAAACAAACAGCTACTAGATGCATACTTGCAAAAACAGAATATTCAAGGATATAATCTTTCAATGTAGGGTAATAACTGCTTGATCCAAGGATAAATCTGACTGCCATTCTGGGGTCAAGAAGGAATTTTTTTCCTAGCTTGTTGCAAAATTGAAAGTGCTTCAAACTGGGTTTTTTTGCCTTCTTTTGGATCAACAGCAAAAAACAAATGTGAGGAAGGCTGAGCTTGATGGATTCAAGTCTCTTTTCAGCTATGTAACTACGTAACTAAGTAACTATGTAACTGTATTTCCTAATCAATATATTGCTCACCTCCTTGCAAATTAACAATGTCTCTGGAGGGTCAGGAATTTTTATCAGGCTTCCTCTATAAAATACCTTAATTGCTTTATACCTATGGGCTTTTTGTCTTCCGTAGAAAAAAGGAAAAAATTAGTGTAATCGTATTGTAGGCCTCTACATATCATGTGTCATTCAATACTTCATATAATAGCTGTAAATCTCAGCACATAGCTCTCACAGCTTCATTTACAAGATATTTCACCACTCCCACAAGCATTGTTAGTGAAAACAAGAGCCACAGGCAACGTATTAAGCTCTGCAGACATTTTAAATTGCCCACTCTTAAAAGAAATCAATCAAATATCACCCTATAATTTGTGTAGCAGTTTCTCGTTTAACAATACCCCACCCAGCCACATGGTCCTAATTATAAACGTTTGGTGTCTAAAATTTTCTGCAGATCTGCTTATCTCGGCTTTGGTCTATGTGATTTTCATTGTAATGCATTTAGATTTTCCAGAACTACCATCTTTTTATGGACTTGTATCCCTTATACATTACTGGAAATATTACAGGCTTAATTGACATAATTTAAGTGTAAAATTTTGTGTTTGTTCTTGAGAGTATCAAAGTCTAACAGAGATGATATGCGGACCCCTCTGTGTGTCTCTCTGCACTGTCCTCATCCCGTTTTGTGTATCTCTTTACCACCTCTCCCATTACGTGTGTCTCCTAACTCCCCTTACCACCTTGAGTGTATCTCCAGACTTCAACATATCCTTCTGTGTATCTCTTGATCCACTAACCCCCATTTTGTGTTTCTCCATTCTCCATGTCCTCCAACCACTGCTGTGCATTTCTAGATCTCTCTCTGACCTATTTGTGTCCTCCAACCTGCCTGATCCCGAATCCACATCTACTTCCAACCCGCCCGTATTGTCGTTTGACCAAGAGCCTAATCCTCTGCCCAGTTTGCCAGTGAAGCTGTGAGATGTGTGGATAGACAGATAGGATACGACACTAGATCTTTCCCCTTCACACACACAACAGTGCTGATCGGAACCTCTGCTGTTACCCCACTTGGGCCTAGTGGGACAACAGCAGAGGTTCCGACCAGCACTGTTGTGTGACTAGGCCATACTGTACTCTAGGACAGTGTTGGGAGGGGTTGCTGTGTGTCACCTGAGTTGTATTGCACCCAGTGTGGTACACTACTGTAACCTCCAACTGTTCAGCAGGGTAACCGACACTGTAACGATACCTACCCTTGTAAATGGGACTATCATGATGCAGTGGTCTTTGTCATGCAGCAAACTAATAGCAACCTTCTGATGCACACTTTAGGTCTACTCCGGTTCATCCCCTCCTTGATAATACCTCTATCCCTCTATATTACTGACACTCATTTCTTTGTCTCTTTGTTCTTTTGTTTGTCTGCTATTATAGATCACTTCCTCCTGCTAGTAATATATTTGCATGAAGTAGTGGTTTAGCACAGTTATCAGGTAATTATTCCTTCGGCGGCCTACTGCATCATTGGTTTTGTTATGTGCCAAAAGAGAGTCCTTATAGACCATTTACTGTCATGGAAAAGCCAATAGATTTGATTTAATAATTTTAGATAGGCTTCTCAAACGATTTAATATTTATGGATAAAAAGCTTTAAAATTATTTTTTTCCCCAAAAATATATATATATAAAAAATTTATTTTATATAAAATAAAATATATCAATATATTAAAAAAAATCTAAATATTTAAATATAAAAATTTTAACAAAATATTACATCATTACATCAGGAAAGATGTCTCTACTCAGTCAAATGGATGTATGGATATCTCTGCAGTGTAAGAGGAATAGAGAGGCTAGAATCCCCAATTGAATCGTATCTAAAACAATTTATTTAACATAAAAGGTTAAAAAAATCTTATTTTGGTGGTGGGTATGCCAGCAAATAACCCTCAACTCTGTAAGCATGACTAAAACCCAAAACGCCACCAGCGTGCAGTCACTGCCGGGTTTCGGCACTTCCTTAATCACGTGACACTTTTGGCGTCAATGACGTCCTTCGGAGGAGTTTAGGGTTATTTTTTGGCATACCCACCACCAAAGTAAGCGTTTTTAACCTTTTATGTTAAATAAATTGTTTTAAATACTATTTAATTGGGGGTCCTGTCTCCTCTATTCCTCTTACACTGCACAGATATCCATACATCTATTTGACTGAGTGGAGACATCTTTCCTGGTATTGATCTGTGGGAATATCCCTCTCAAGTGGAGCAATTCAAACCCAGAGCCAGGGGTGATAGGGCTCTGGTACATGTGAGTTCTCTCCCAGACATTCTACAATATTTGTATTATAGCTATATCAGATAGTCTGCACTATATATTTCTCATTGTTTGTTTTAGAAATTCCATCCATTGCAGTCTTTAGCGCGCTATGATATTTGGTACTATTTCAGTTTTATTGTGTGTCATGCAGTGTCACTTTGGAGGTAGTGCAGATGTACTATATGTGCACATACACATTTTTTTCTCAAGCGCTTCTTTAACTTTGGTTTACAATATTAAATTGAGGTCTTAGCAAGCACTAGAAGGTCAAGGCAGCCCTGGTGTCATAAAATGATTAGGATTCTAAAAGCTCAGATTATTTGAAGACATAAACTGCCATTGGTCATTTATCGGTTTATTACAGGGGAGCTAGCTGGAGGCTTACTAATTCAATCCTCGTGTATATTTATTTTATACACATTTCGATTTCTAGCACAGACGTATGCAGCACATACCATTATAGTGTGCATTGGGGAATATGTTTTTAATAAAAGGGAATATTGAAAATTCATCTATCACAAGGATCATTTCCATTCATCAAACAAGATAAAACTTAGCTAGTCTATTTTTATATATTTACCATATGGACACTCACAATGACATTTAAAAAATTATCTGTTCTAGATCTAGTAATTGTTTCTAAAGATGAAAGATAATATCCATCATTGACAAAATAATAAGCTGTTTCAAACTAGCACACAAATCCAGATAAGGATTTAAAAAGGGCAGTTTGGCCAGCTGTTCCTTAAATTTGGGAATGCCTGGGCGCCAAGGGCATTTAATGGCTATAAATTTAATCTGTTTTGATTTCCTAGACCAGGAATAGGCAACCTTCGGCACTCCAGATGTTGTGGACTACATCCCCCATAATGCTCTTACACATATAATGCTGGCAAAGCATCATGGGAGGTGTAGTCCAAAACATCTACATTGCCGAAGGTTGCCTATTCCTGTCCTAGAGCATCATATTATTGTGTTTAGCTTTCCTTCTGTTGAAAAATACATTTCATTTTTTTTCTTTTCCATTGAATAATTAATTATTTTATAAAAAAATGTGTTATTCAAAACATGGATATTTTAGATATTATTATATACATATATTATATTGTTAAATATATACAATTTTTTTAATATTAATTTACATCTCTATTACTTATTATACTGCAACCATTTTTCTTTTTAAACCACAATTGGGAAGAATATTAGATTTTTCTTATCCCAAGTCTAAGGGATTGTTGTAAATGATATTTAGGATACCATGCCGCACCCTGCTGGCCAGCTTGCTAACTTCAAAAAATATAACACTAGACAATGGTTCAATAACTGGAAGGGTTACATCTAAAGTTCTAGATATGCGCAGAAAAATTGAAATCTTCATATAAACTCCTTGATTTTTTAACAACTTAAAAAATATTAACTCATTGATTACCAAGCACATAAAACGAACCCGTTTCATGAAGTCATTTACATTGAATGTGTTATTAATTGAGACATGTTTGCATACGTAGTTTTCTTTTACAATAGAAACAGGGTAACACATGCACCTTTCTGATTTAACATTTTTAAACAAGTAAATTTACCAGAAATTATATTTCTCATTTATTCATTGGTTACTGACATTTGCTAAGAATACAGCATTAGAGATACCTAGTTATCCTTTCAACAGGTTCTCGTTAATCTTTACAGTGAGTCTGATGATACATTGTGAAATGATAAGTTGATGTGTTGCCCTTATTGGGAACAATGTACAATGTATAACACCGCCCATATAGGATATCTAAGCAGTACGGATAAAAGCAGCTGCTCTTACCCAACTCAGTGGTAAGCTCAGAAATATTAAACATGGACTGGAAATCAGTGTCCAACTTGACTACTTTACCAGCGACAAAGGACTTTGTTGAGATCCTGGTATATTTGAATGTTGTTGTTGTGATGACTTTGACTATTTTAAAGAGGGTATGAGGTCAAACCTATTATCTCCAGACACTACCTATTTTATAGAGTCTTATAGTGTGTTAGTGTATTAACAAGCAATGGCATGTTAACCATTTTCATAAGATTTAAGCTCCATAAAATGCAAGATGTCTAATATCCAATGGTTTTTCTTTAAGATACTCGGAAGACTACTATATCCAAGCTGTTAATGAAGTGCAAAATTGTACATGGTTGAAACAACCAGAAGAATATAAGAAATTTAGGTAACATTCCTTTTTATTCATTTATTGGGGGGGAGGGGCTTGGGGACATTTATCAAAATATTCTGGTCTAAAAAGGGTGCATACATGTAAAAATACTTTGCAAATGTACATAGAGGTACAAAGGGGAGTTTCAATTATAAAAAAAACCAAAAAACTAATTCTTGCATTCATTATATTCCACTTGAACTCTGAAGGTATTGCCTAATTCTATCAAGAAAAACTGAATGGGTTTAAATCTACAAAAGTTTCAACGTAACGTCACTACCTTAAATATCAAATTCATAACCTCCCAATGTACAGATTTTGTGGAAACTAGACCTGAAGGAGCAAATTCAATTTGGAGTTATCTTTTCAGAATGAACTGACACACATGCAGATACATATACATACATGCAGATACATAGACACACAGATACACAGAAACACACGCAGACACAGTGGCAACTCTAGGAACAATATATGAGGGGGGCCACATACGATACCACAGTCAAAACTGGGGGGCACTAAAATTTTCACTAGGGGGTGGGGTAATATGCTGCCATTGGCTGTCTGATGCCAGCATGCTGGTATCAGACAACCAATTTGCATAGAATTCACATTAGCCATCCATATTTCTTGTTTTAAGCTGGCTGACACCTCTTAACTTCGATCTTTGTTTATCAGATAACTCCCCTATTTGCTATCCTTATGTGGGATTGCCATATTTAAGGATGCCAAATAAGAGATCTATCTGCTAAACGGGAACCTTAATTTGGTATTTAAATATGGAAATCTCACATAAGGGCACCGATTTAGGGAATTAGCTGCCAAACAGCTAAAAGATCAAAATTTAAAAAGCCCTTTTATTAATTTTAATCTTTCAATTATTTAGTAGATAACTCCATTATTTGTTATCCTTATGTGGGATTGCAATATTTAAGGACACTAAATAAGGGAGCTATCTCCTAAACACATACACATTTATATACACACACAATAACACAATATATGTATGTCAGTGTGTGTGTACATTTGTGGTTGTGTATATATATAAATATATATATTTGTGTGTGTGTGTGTGTGTGTGTGTGTGTATATATGTATATATATATACATATATATATATATATATACACACACACATACACCCACATAACCACAGACACACACAATCACAGACCCACACATACAATCACATTAATAAACACACATAATCACAACACACACACTTAACCACATATATACACACAAAATCACACACATACACAAACACAATCACATAAAATTAGACATACACACACAATCATCACATATATACACATATTTAATAATTAAGAGGTCCACCCAACCTTCCTACCTTGCACTGGGATGGCTTGGGTGGATCCTCAGTACCTGGTGGGCAGTGGTTGCTGCTGGGATCTCTGTGCTCTTCCTGCACAGTTCCCTCGCGTGCGCTGTAATGACGCAGATGCCGGGAGGACGCTATATCCTGGCTGCTGGCTCACTGCAGAATGAAGACAGTCAGACACAGTCAGATGCACAAAGTTAAACACATTTACTGGCAAATACAGGCACATGTACACGGTCCCAGGAACATAGTCACTCGCACACAGTCACACACACACAGCTACAGGCAGACAGTCGAACACATAGTTACAGGTAGTCACATGCACAATTACAGGCAGCATCACACAGTCACAGGCAGACAGTCACACACACTACGTGACATGCAGACAGTTACACACAGTCACAGGTAGACAGTCACACACACAGTCACAGGCAGTCACACACAGTCACAGGCAGACAGTCCCATACTGGCACAGGCAGACAGTCACACACACAGTCACATGAAGACAGTCACACACTGGCACAGGCAGACACTCACACACAGTCACAGGCAGACAGTCACATACTGGTATAGGCAAAAATTCACACACACAAACACACACAGTCACAGGCATACAGTCACACACACAAACATGCACACACACACACACACAGTCACAGGCATACAGTCACACACACACACACACACAGACAGTTACATAGTCAAACACACACACACACAGTCACAGGCAGACAGACACAATCACAGTTACACACACACACACACACACAGCACTCACTCTCTTACTTACAGTCAGCTTGGGCTGGAGGAGGAGTGGACTCAGACCCCGGTGTGTAGTAGTTGTGGAAGCAGGTACTCCTTCCTGCTTCCCTGCTGTGTGCAGCAGTAGCAGGTGGAGGCCGCCATTAGCTCAACCCCCGCTGCCATTTTGGCTCCAACCCCAACTCTCCCCGAAGTTCTCCTGCTCCTGTTTCTGGCCCCTGCGTGTGTGAGCTGTGTCAGCTGCTCGGTGCCCCTACTGCCATAGCGCCCTGTGCAGCCACACTGCTTACACCTCCCCAAGGCCAGCTCCCCCTTAGTACGACACTGCAAAGGAAGCTACTGTGTCTCAAATTGCTGAAATATTTAATTCTGGCCATGACAGGTGTGAGAATGCTACGTGCTTTAGAGTTTGTTGTGTAGCCAAAGACCGTCAGAGTGCCCATAATGACCCCTGTCCACTGCCGAAAGAACCTTCAATTGGGCCTTGTGCATCAGAAATCGACCATGGAGCAATAGAAGAAGGTTGCCTGATAAATCTTTTAAAGGACCACTATAGTGCCAGGAAAACATGCTCGTTTTCCTGGCACTATAGTGCCCTGAGGGTGCCCCCACCCTCAGGGACCCCCTCCCGCCCGGCTCTGGAGAGAGGAAGGGGTTTAACACTTACCTTTCTCCAGCGCCGGGCGGGGAGCTGTACTCCTCCTCTCCTCCTTGCTCGCGACGTAATCGGCTGAATGCGCATGCGCGGCAGGAGCCGCGCGCGCATTAAGCCGGTCGCATAGGAAAGCATTTACAATGCTTTCCTATGGACGCTTGCGTGCTCTCACTGTAATTTTCACAGTGAGAAGCACGCAAGCGCCTCTAGCGGCTGTCAATGAGACAGCCACTAGAGGCTCTGGAGGCTGGATTAACCCTCAGTATAAACATAGCAGTTTCTCTGAAACTTCTATGTTTATAGAAAAAAGGGTTAATCCTAGAGGGACCTGGCACCCAGACCACTTCATTAAGCTGAAGTGGTCTGGGTGCCTAGAGTGGTCCTTTAAATCAGGTGGATGGTCGGTGCATGTGCGTCAGTTACATGGTGAAGAGATGTCAGCCGGATGTACTATGGGTAAAAGGAAGGCTGGTATAGGTGGTGTTAAGCTCTGGGCAATGCTCTGCTGCAAATCCTTGGGTCCTGTCATTCATAGGGACAGGTACTTTGACCCATACCACCAACCTAAAGATTGTTGCAAACCAGGTAAACCACTTCATGGCAATAGTGTCCCTGATGGCATTTGCCTCTTTTAGCAGGATAATGCATCCTGTTACACTGCAAAATAAATAGTTTTAGGAACATGACAAAGAGTTCAGGGTGTTGCTTTGGACTTCTAATTCCCTTTTATCTCATTCCGATTGAGCATCTGATCCATGGAGGCCCCAGCGTGCAACTTGTAGGACGTAAAAGATCTGCTGCTAAGGTTGTTACTCTTGGTGCCAGATACCACAGGACACGCTCAAAGATTGTGTCCATCTCTCCAAATAAAATAAGCATTAGTTCATCTAGCATCATTATCTATAGTTCTAATAAAGAAATGTATTTTGACTATGATTGTAAATATTGTATCAGACCTAGTAGTGTTAAAAAAAATAAGAACAAAATTGACAATTACATTTGTATGGTTAAACAATATCTGCAACAATATCTGGCAATGTGTTTGACAGAGACTCATCAATATATTGCATTGATGACTAACTTTAGCACTGTAGATGTTTATGAAGGAATTTTTCATCAGGCTCAGCCGAGGTTAGATATTCTAAATCTGGAGACCACATCTTCGAAGAGGCTTGAGGGCAAAGCTATTTGACAGAGTATTTGCCATCAGCACTAAAATATCCTTTCAATACATTTTTCAAAAAAATCTCTATCACGTTTATTAATTTGCTTGTTTAATCAAAAATCCCCAGCACACAGAAGCGGGTCTTAACTGGGCTTAAGTAGAATCAACCAATCTATCATTTACTGCACAGTTGTAATATGAGACTTGAATAATTGTTTAAGATAATGAAACACATTACAAAAATGTTAAATCCAAAGAAATATGTAAAACTATCAATTTTACAGAATTTAAGAACCCATTTCAGTAAGTAGGATTAAAATTGTTATGATACAGAAAAGAAAAAAAAAAAGGACAAATTGTTAAAGCCAATGAACTACATGACCCTTTGAAATAGCAAATAATGAAAAGCTGCTCTATATAAGTCAGTTTTACTAATGACTGATTCCTGTGTTTTCAAAGGTAACATTTCCATACAATTCCATTTTTTAAGATTCAGAGGAAGCACAGTTTTTAATGCACTTAATCTCCTTTTGCTGCACACTACTTGTTCAATGGGTGACAGGTATGTAATTAACTCCTGTAATAAATCCTTAAACTGACTCTGTTTGCAGATTATATTTGTCCTCATGCTGCAACGCAGTTAATAACTTCATCGTTTCTCAAAACAATACTTTGCTGGGAAGCAATATCACATACGAAGTGGAAACCCGAAAGAACATTTTAATTGCAGAAGACATTTATAGAATGTTCCCTAAGGTATGGGTTTTAATTTTTTCATGTGGTTGTTTTTGTCAACTCACTCATCTCTGCCTTCATGCAAACAATGTGTGTGGGTGATTATATTTAGAATTCAAAGGAACACATCAAGTACCATAACCACCTTAGCAGCCTGCAGTAGTTATGGTGCTTAACCAATGTAAGTAGTCAACCGTTTTCTAACAGTTTGACTTCTTATCTGAGTTCCTCTCGGCACCGCTCCCTGCCTCAATGATAGGTCAACGTTCTCTGTCAGGGCTAAACCCGGTAGTGCAGTGCTGAGCTCATTGGCTGAGAGTCTCAGGAAATGAACTGGCCCTTCATTGCAAGACTTGGTTCAGAAGAGCTAATTAACCCCTTAAGGACCAAACTTCTGGAATAAAAGGGAATCACGACATGTCACACATGTCATGTGTCCTTAACCCCTTAAGGACACATGACATGTGTGACATGTCATGATTCCATTTTATTCCAGAAGTTTGGTCCTTAAGGGGTTAAGGGGTTAAAGCTTCAAGCATCAGTTTCCAGCTCCCAGACCAGAAAGGAAGGTGCAGGGATTGGTGCCCGGCAGACTCAAGGTAAAAAGTCAAATTGTTGTAAAGCAGTTTGACTATTCATGCTGGAGGGCACCACGGCACTCCTGGCACCATAACAACTGCTGTGTTCTGCAGTTTTTATGGTGGTTGGAGTTTTCTTTTAACTGGCTGTTCCTCATATGAACTGTGAATGTTTCTCAATGGGTGATTGTTTTTTTCTTAGAGGTACATGATGGCAACAGGCACAATCTGTCTATGTATATAAATATATAGAAAACAGTAAGAGAAAATATGAAGTATGCTGAAGGATTTGAAAAGTAAGGCTACAAGCTATTTCTGTTGGCAGCATAATATGCTTAAATAAAATGAGACTCTGTATTGGATGTGCTAGAGTCCCTGATTCTCAGTAGGACTCAGTTATTAGAGCCATTACTCTAATAACAGAATTTCTGCTAAGCTACAAATGCCTAAAATGGACCCGAGGGCACCTAATCTACATGCCCCAAAAAGTAGCCAAAATGCCCATCCTTTGACAGTACTCATCCCCCGAAAGAACAACACCATAATCGTGCCCAGCCTCCTGGCACAAATAATGTTACGGTCATCAGTCCCTCTCCATAAAAATACAGAGTTGGGAGTATTCTGGTTTCCTTGTAGAAATAGTGTTAGTAAGTCAGTAAGTGGCTAGGTCCACTTGCTCTAATATTATCCCCCTCACAACCTTGTACTTTGATTTGGATGCAGATGCCAAATCACCCTCACCATTTAAACCCATAATATTATTTTGGCCTGGAAAGTGTATATTCCATAACGGTATTATCAAAATAAAATACATATAAAATATGCTATAGCAACTATGCCCAGATGGTGGCAGTATAGCAGTGTGAAGGATATCGAGGAATCTTTTATTATTTTATGTTATTTATAACTAAGTATAACAATTTGAAATGGAACGTGGAGCTGGTGAGAGAATGCTCACGGTGTCAGCACATTTGCTGTGAGTTAGACGGATGATGTGACTGTAGGATTTTGTATTGATTGGAGGGGGGGGAGGCGGTTAGATCGATAGGATGACAAGTTAGAGGAAATTTCAGTGATTATCAAGTGTTTTGACAAGCTTGGCAAAGGCATTTTAAAGACTCTTCGAAAATAAGTTAAGGTGTGATTCAGAAATCTGTTTTTGTGGGTTTATATGCGTTTTTGAGGGGTGAAGGAATTTTCCTTCAGGACTTACGTACTGATGTTGATTTTATTTCTTCCAATAATTCCAGTGCAAATTATACAGTACTGGGATTCGGGATTCATCCATTCAATTACGGATAATTGACACGTGAAGTGCAAATCATTGCTAATGGTCATTTGCTTTCAGGTTCCCTGATGGAACTCATTACATACCTCCCAAGTGTCTCGTTACAATGGACAGTCCTTATGTTCAGCCTAAATACCTCTGGTCTCCTTTCTATCCTAATATTCATCTTTTGCTGGAGCTCCAGGATTTTTTAGAGAACTAAACAAAAACCAGTGTAAATTAGATAAATGATTATGACCTCGTTTTAATATTGCTCGATTAACATGTATAGCTTGGAGGAAAGACAAGACAGGGGGATGTAATAGAAACATTTAGGGAATCAACACAGGAAAAGATGAGACCATATTTAAAAGAAGAAAAACTACCACAACAAGAGGACATAGTCTTAAATTAGAGGGGCAAAGGTTTAAAAATAAAATCAGGAAGTATTACTTTACTGAGAGGGTAGTGGATGCATGGAATAGCCTTCCAGCTGAAGTGGTAGAGGTTAACACATTAAAGGAGTTTAAGCATGCGTGGGATAGGCATAAGGGTATCATAACTATAAGATAAGGCCAGGGACTAATGAAAGTATTTAGAAAATTGGGCAGACTAGATGTTCTATGTTTCTATGATTTCAAATTTAATGGATAAACTTTTAAAATGATTTAATATTATGAAATGTATTTTAATTGTGTAAGATTTTTATAGTTTTGAGATACAAATATAGGCTTTGATATTTTAATATGTTGAAAAATTCATTTAAAAAAGATTATCCAAAAAAACGACATTACTTGGAAAACGTTCCCAATAGTATTAAATATAGACCTAAGCCCCTTGAAATGTATCACAATCTCAGCCAATCAGCTAAGCTCTGCACCCCCGAGCTTAGCTCAGTGAGTACCTCACAGAGTTTTAGTGGAGATAGGGAATGGCACCCAGTGGACGGAAGGTTCTAAAATAGTTTGGCTGCTTACTTTGGAAGGGGAGGTGCCAAGGCACTCCAGACCCAGTCTGCTGTAGTGGTTTTGGTACTTAAAGTATTAATTTAACTCCATCCTGTAAATCGTGCTTAACACTGTGCATTTCCCATAAATACTTTCCACATTTAAACTAACCCGCATCCATTCCCACATTAATCTTTTTCATGCAGCCAGTTGCTTACCATTGTAAAGTAGTTCCACCCAGCCTACACTTTATGCAGTCCTAAACAGTTATGCCCAGGTTTAGTCAAATCGAAGACACTGTGTGGAGGGATATGGGCACACTGAACAGAGCCCTGCACTAATACTGAAACCCTATTGGTAAATATGAGCAAAGAAGGCTGTGAAAAAAAATTCTTTATTGTTTAACCCAGCGGTTCCCAAACTGTGTGCTGGGGCGCCGCAACGTGCACACAGGGGTGCCGCGGAATGTTTCTACGGTGCCATGATTATATTACCGGGGAAACATTACTACTGAACAGAGGCCCAGTCCGGTGCCGCCGTCCTTTAAGACCGTGACCAGGGAGACAGCGCGGGAGGAGGCAGCCACAGCATGAGATGAGAGGAGCACGAAGAGCTCCAGACCCCTCACTCCCACAGCAGCGGGACTCCAAGCCACCCTCCTGGCACATAAGGTAAGCTGGAGGGAACAGGAGGGTGGCTGGAGATATTTTTAAAAAATCACTTGTATGTGTGTGAGTGTGTGTATGTATGAGTGTAAGTGAGTGTGTGTGTATATGAGTGTGTGTGTGTGTGTATGAGTGTGTGTGCATGTGTATGAGTGAGTATGAGTGTGTGTGTGTCAGGGTGTGCATCTGTGTGTATATATATATATATATATATATATATATATGTGTGTATGTATGTCAGTGTGCTTCTGTGTCTGCGCACACATGTGTATGTGCATCTGTGTCAGGGTGTGTGTATCTGTGTTATGGTGTTGGCATGTATCAATGTTTGGGTGTGTCATGGTGCATGTGTGTATATGTCAGTGTGTATCTATATGTGTGTGTCGGTGTCTATATGAATTTGTGTGTATGTGTCGGTGTATTTATGTGCATGAATATCTGTGTAAGTATGTATGTATGTATGTGGTAGTGTATGTGCATACATCCAAGCAGTCAAACACCAGCACAACATACAAGCACACTCTTGCAATCAAACACAAATATTACTTACAAACATCTGCATTCAAACAAGCAAAAACAAAAAATATACAAACACACCCCTTCACTCAAAAACAAATACTTCACACAAATGTTCATCTGCATTTAAAAGTGAACATTCAAACACACACCTGCAATCAAATGCAAACATTACATACAAACACACCCCTGTATTAAAACACAATAATTATAAACAAGCACCCCTTCAAATACCAACACTGTACATTACACTACATCGGCAGTAAATGCTGCAGTGCTGTACACATATACAACCTAGAAATTTTGACTTGGGGTGCCTTGGAAAAATACTGAAATATTAACCTAAAGTTTGGGAACCACTGGTTTAAAGGACCACTATAGGCACCCAGACCACTTCAGCTCAATGAAGTGGTCTGGGTGCCAGGTCCCTCTAGTTTTAACCCTGCAGCTGAAAACATAACAGTTTCATAGAAACTGCTATTTTTACACTGCAGGGTTAATCCAGCCTCTAGTGGGTGTCTCACTGACAGCCACTAGAGGCCGCTTCCGCAGTTCTCACTGTGAAAAGCACAGTGAGAAGACGCTGACGTCCATAGGAAAGCATTGAGTGCTTTCCTATGGGCGTTTTTAATGCGCAAGCGGCTCTGGTCGCACATGCGCATTCAGCTCCACTCGGGAGCCAACGTCGGAGAGGTCACCAGCGCCGAGGGAGCCCAGAGGGTGGGGGGGGGGGGACTTAAGGACTACATAGTGTCAGGAAAACGAGTTTGTTTTCCTGGCACTATAATGGTCCTTTAACCTTTTGTTCTCATGGATATCAAACACAACACAGGTTTATTTAAAAAAAAAATCTTTGTTAAATATGTGTACCATTGTTGGCACCCTTTTAGGTCAATACATTGTGCTACCTCCTGAGATGCCAATATTAGTGAAGGGCACTGTGTATTAATGTAACTGAATGAAGGCACTCTAGCACAACTGAATTTGCCATGCATTACTATTAATTATTTTAGTGTCTTTAATTATTATAGGTCAGTGGTGACAAACAGCGTGGATATAACTAGGGCAGGATTGAGAGCCCATCGGGTCTGGTGCTGACAATTACGATGGACCTAATTACAGAATAATATTGGCAGAAAACACATACCTTCCAAGCAGCCAGGGCCGGACTGGGGATACGAAGTAGCCCTGGAAAAAAATCTATGCCAGCCCCATAAGTCATTGTGCTATGTAGTGTGTGTTTTATATATATACACACTCACATATATATCTCTCTCTCTGTCTATATTTAGTACAGACAAACTCTGATATACACACAAGCTTACTACAGACAAGCTCACTGATGCGCACACACTCTCCCTACAGACAAGTCCATTGACACACACATGCCCCCTACAGAAGAGCTCACTAACACACAGATTCACTACAGACAAGCTCACTGACACACACATGCTCACTACAGACAAGCTCACTGACACACATATGGTCACTACAGACAAGCTCACGATCACACACATGCTTACTACAGACAAGCTCACTGCACACACACAGGGCTGACCTTAGGTGTTTAGGCACCCTGTGCGAGCCAATCTTCCCCCGGTCACCTAGACATACACAAAGAGGAAAAAAACCTGTGTAAGAAATAATTTGTTTTAATTTCAGATAGTTTAAGTGCAAGTGCAAACAATTACAATAATAAATAACTGCAGGGGGGCGGGGCCGGACCGCCGACGGGATCAGACGTGTTTAGTCTGAGCTCCTGCCTTGGAGCCCGAAAATCGGCGCAAACTGGAGGCTGAAACTCCCCAACCACCCGTAACACAGACCACAATGCTCCCCAGAACATGGGCTACGAGGCGATACCCTTCCAGACTCTGCCCGGCACCTACAGTAACCCGACGAAGTCCCGAGGCATGCTGGAGCTTGAGCCGGGAAGAGACGGCCGCTCTCCCGGGTCTCCGGCCGGCGTCTGGCGCCCCCCCTCCCCTCTGGACCGGGGGGGTCATCCCGGTCTACACAAGCAACTACTGTCATGCCAAGCTGGGATGTAAGCTACCATTCTGCTGCGGCACACTCTCCAGCGGCAATCCTCCAAGATGGCTGCCGCACGCCAGCCGCATGTGCGACCTGCCAGCAAGATGGCGCCTGCTGCAGAGGCAGCCATCAAATGCCATCTGACCACCACGGAAACCTGCCCCAGAGAAGCGTCGGCGGACCAAAGGGAAGCCTACATCATATAATTTGGTTTAAAAAGGAATACCTCTGTACCTGGGGAGGACATCATCATTCAAGGGGGGCCCACCTTATACGCCCGGGAAACAACACCAATGGCTGCACCTATATCCAGGACTCTCCTGTGAGGCGCAACGCACCCATCTGAGGAAGCAGCCGGACAGCACCAGGCATGGGCTACACAAACAAACGCTGGTCCCCTAATGCACAGTCCAACCTGAATATGTTCCATACTCTTGAACACTCGGGACTTTATATGCTCCCATCTACAGGAATGACCCAGTGGCAATCTTAGCTCACCTTGCAAAACTCATTTTTATGTCTTGATTTAATGCACACCACTATATATGCTTATTTAACCCTTGTAAAATGTGTTTGCAGAGCAGATTTGTTGTTCTGGATTAAGCTTACGTAACATATACCTAGCTTGAGATGAATATCTATTGTAAAATAAGGCAGAACCGTTTGAATACACATCTCATTAATTTTATACATAACATGTATAACCTGTGATGCACGCAGACTAGTTTAAACACTGTCCTAGCCTAATTAAAGTGTAACACTACTCTCACGAACTGATTTGTATAAGCTAACAATAATATAAAAAATGTGCCTTGTAAGCAAATGCCCCGCATGTTTTGCGAGAAAAAGCCTGAGGATTGCTCTCGGGGCACCTCATGCCTGCTTGTAATGTTTTCTGTGCACTTCAAAAAAAAATAAAAAAAATAAAATAAAATAATAATAAATAACTGGATAGGCTGGTAACAATAATGTACATTTAGGGGACACTATAGTCATCAAAACACCGTTATCTTAATGAAGCAGTTTAGGTGTATAGAGCATGTCCCTGCTATGTCACTGCTCAATTCCCTGCCATTTAAGTGTTAAATCATGTATACCCTCTCCCTCATTTCTTCACCCCACCTCTCTGGCCCCCTCTAGACAATTTCAGGCACACAATTTGCCGCCCCCACCCCCTTCTACAAACCCTGCCCCCCCTTCACCAAAACCCCTGCCCCTATTCACTTAACCCCTGCCCTCTTCACCAAAACACCTGGCCATCCCTTCATCAATGCCCTGACCCCCTTCATCAATCCTCTGCACCCTTTGTCAGACCTTGATACCCTTCATCAATCCCCTGCCCCTTTCATCAATCCCCTGGACCTCCTTACCAGTCCCCTGCCCCCATTCACCAATCCTCTGCACCCCTCATTAATGCTCTGCCCTCCTTCATTAGTCCCCTGCCCCCCTTCACCAGTCCCCTGCCCCCTTCATCAGACCCTGCCCTCCTTCACCAATCCCGTGCCCTCATTTACCAGTCCCCTGCCCCCATTCACCAATCCTCTGCCCCCTTTGCCAATCCCCTGCCGTCCTTTACCAGTCCCCTGCCCCCATCATCAATCCCCTGCCCCCCTTCATCAGACCATGCCCCCTTAATCTATGCCTGCCCCATTTACCAATTCCATGCCCCCTTCCATCAATTCCTGCCCCCTATCATCAATCCCCTGCCCCACTTTATCAGACACTGCCACCTTAATCAATCTCCTATCCCCTTCACCAACAACCCTGCACCCCTTCAATAAAAGGCAACATATTTAGTAAAAAGAAAAGCAATAAGAACTAGGACTCCCTTTAATGGCTGCTGCTCCCTGGATTGAGCTTCCCATTCTGCTGCGTCGCTGACTTAAGAGCTCCGGCCGCCGACCTCACACGCACCAAGTGGATCCTGCTGCGGCTCCCTGTGAAGGCAGAGCACATGGACGTTGCGTCCCCATGCTCCTCCTCCTCCACGCTCCAGACCTCTTCACTCTGCAATGGATCCTGGCCATGGCTTGCCTCTCCCCTCATAAATTGGTCTGGCCTCTTTGTGATCGACTGCGAGCTGTGTCGGCCGCCCCAGCGCCCCTGTTGCCACCTCGCACACCCCAAAGGCTGGCCCTGCACACACATGCACCGCACAGACAGGCTCAGACACACCCATGCTCCCTACAGACAAGCTCACTAACACACACACAATCCCTACAGACAAGCTCAATGACACACATACAAGCTCACTCACTAGCAGGCACACACACAAACACAAACTCACTAGCAGGTGCACACACACAGAAGCTCACTCACAAATGCACACACACAAAGACATCCACACACACAGAGGCAGGCAGACAGCCACACACACACACACTCAGGCAGACAGTCACACACACACACAGGCAGACAGTCACACACACACACAGGCAGACAGTCACAGACTCACAGGCAGTCAAACACATACACGCTGCTGCAATTACCAGGGCCCCCGCCGCACAGTAAGCTCCGCTGCTTAGCTCCGCCCCCACCGCCCGGTAAGCCCCGCCCCCTCCGCAATATATATATATTTTTTTCAATCCCGGCCACAGGAGCCTGGCCAGTGATGAATAGGTCTGTCAGCCCAGCCCCAGGTGCCGTGGCACACCGGGAAATTTCCCGATATCCTGGTGGGCCAGTCTGGCCCTGCAAGCAGCTATAGACTGTAAGCTCGTTTGAGCAGGGTCCTCTTCAACCTGTCATTACTGTAGGTTTTCTTGTAATTGTACTATTTATAGTTACACGCCCCCCCCCCTTCTTATAATATTGTAAAGTGCTATGGAGTCTGTTGGCACTATATAAATGGCAATAATAATAATAATAATGTATCTGGTGGAGGTGGTGCTGGAGGGAACCTCACAGGATGCAGCTAGAAGAAAACACATCCCTATGATAATATCTCACTTTCATCTGTCAAGCAAATTTATATCCCCTAACAGCAGTGTCCGGCGAAGCAGGACGTCGGTGGGTGGGGGGGAAAAGGTTGTGCCACTGATGTGAATCACGTAAACCAGCATGTCCAGAATAGAGGCGGGTCTGCCTGAAGAAATGGAAGGTCCACCTTGCGTAAATGCACGTCAGGCTGCCCATAAGTCATGCAGGCTGGCCAACTAAGAGCTTACAATGCAGACAGTGCCCTGAGCTTGTTGCAAATGAGTCTCATAATGTGCTAATGATCACAAATGTGTCTAATGATGTGCTCGCTTTAAGTTTAAACATTTAATTATTTTTTTTGTCTCAGACACAGCCCTTTGCAGGAATCCCCTTCAAGAGATGTGCTGTGGTTGGAAATGGTGGTATGCTCACAAACAGCAGCTGTGGAGAAGAAATTGACCAGTCAGATTTTGTATTCAGGTAACAGGTTACATATCCTAGTGGGCTTTAAACAGGTGCGGACAAAAATTACATTACCAGTCAGGGGTGGACTGACCACTTGGGCAGATTGGTCACGGACCAAGGGCCTAGCTGAACAGCCATAATACCACACACACCTTCTATGCCCCCTACTCCCAATTCAGCCCATATGCCTTCCTGCATACAATACAGCCTCCATCCCTCCCTGCACCTACTACAGCTCCTATGCCGTTATCCATCTATTACAGGCCCCCATTATATCACCAGCACCTACTACTGCCCCATGAACCCTTGCATCCAGTACAGCCCCTATGCCCCCTTGCATCCACATTAGCCCCTATGTCCTCCTGCACTTACTACAGCCCCTATGCCCTGCTACAGCCCTAATGCCCCTTTTGCAACCACTACAGCCATTATCCTCCCTGCTTCAAATTCAGCCCTCTCTGCACCTTCCTAAGCACCTATCTCTTCCTGCACTCACTTCATCCTCTTTGCCCCATTGCATCCACTACTGCCCCTATGCCTTCCTGCACCAACTACAGTCATTATCACTCTATGCACCCCCCTCAGCTTCTATACCTCACTGTAACCACTACAGCCCATGTGTTCTTTGCAGCCGCTAAGTTATCCATCCCCCCCCTGTATCCACTACATCCCCTATCCTTTCCCTGCACACACTTCAGACCCTATCCCTTCCATGCACCAGCTGCAACCCATATCCCTCCCTGCACCCAGTATGCCCCCTGCAGCAACAACAGTACCCATCCCTCCCCTGCACGCACTACAGCCCTTATCTCTCACACACTACAGCTCTTATGTCCCCACTGAGTGTGCACCTTCCTATCACTCCGGCCTGGTACCGTGGACCGGAGAGGAGCTCGGTCACGCTACAGGGAAGGGGAGGTGAGGGTGTGGGGGGAGGAGTAAGAAGAAGGAGGCGGGAGTAAGAAGAGGGGGGAGTAAGAAGAAGGGGAGTAAGAAGGGGGTAAGAAGAGGGGAGTAAGAAGAAGAAGAAGGGGGGTAAGAAAAAGAGGGAGTAAGAAGAAGAAGAAGGGGCGAGTAAGAAGAAGTAGGAGGGGTAAGAAGAAGAAAGGGGGAGTAAGAAGAAGTAGAGGGGGTAAGAAGAAGGGAGGAGCAATAAGAAGAAGGGGGAGTAATAAGAAAAAGGGGGGGAGTAAGAAGAAGAAGGGGGGTAAAAAGAACAAGGGGGAGTAAGAAGAACAAGGGGGGGAAGTAAGAAGAACACGGGGTGAGGAGAACACATGGAGGGTGAGAAGAATGGGGGGATGAGAAGAGCACAGGGTGGGTAGTGTGAGAAGAGACCGCTAGGGGAGGGTGGGGCAGAGTAGAGACCACTAAGGGGCAGGGGAGAGCTTTAAGGGACAGCTCTATAGGACAGGGGGCAAGACAGGGAGCTCTTTCACACTACGCGCACAAACACACACACAATGCATCCCTATACATACACAGAAACACACAATGCATCCCTACACACACAGAAACACAACATGCTTCCCTTACACACAGAGAAACACACAATGCATCCATTACACACACACAATGCAACCCTTGCACACAAAGACAATGCATCCTTTGCACACATACACAGAAACACACAATGCAAACCCTTGCACACACATGCAAACACACACACTGCTTTTCTTATATATACACAGAAACACAATGCATCTCTTACACTCAATGCACATACATACAGACACACACCTTGCATCCCTTATGCATACAAACACGGATTCACACAATACATCCCTTATACACAAATACACACTGCTGCAACTACACACAAACACACACTACATCACCTACACAAACTGGTATCCCTATACACTACATACCATAAGCACACATATTAGAACCGCTACAATAACACATAACACATCCCCTACACACTCCACTCCCTGTGAGCAAACTCATGGGTGGGTGGAACATATAAGTGGACTTATGAGTGGGCCTTATGGGGGACACCAGCATATGCAATTTAAACGATTCGCTGGTGGTCCACTGGTGCGCACCAGCAGTAGGTGCAGTCAGATTATAGCCTCTCCCTCGTGGTTCCGGCGCTCAGTTAGTGAGTCAGAGCACAGGCTCAGAGATTCTCAGCCTGCGCTCTGACAACATTGAAAGTCAGAGCCATGAAGGAGCGGGTATGGCAAAGAGCGACTAATTAGCATAACATCAATATCCGTTATAAAACCGGTGGGCATGGATGGTGAACTGATTTGGTGGTGCAATGGGTGGGCATGGATGGTGAACTGATTTGGTGGTGCAATGGGCCACTTGACTGGTTTTGCCCCCCAGGCCTAAGGCTGCCAGCCCTCCCCTGATCCCCACTGTACACACAACATCCCCTATACCCCCACGCACACTGCAGCCCCTATCCTCCTCACACACACATACTGCAGCTTCTATTTACCCCACACACAGTAGAGCCTCTATAATCCATACAAACACACAGTTTCCCGAAGATGCATACTATAGCCACACACATACAACAGCCCCTATCTACACACACTCTGCAACACAAGCAGTCCTCTCCACTCACATACTTCACTGCAAACAGCCCAATTCACACCTTCAAACCTACAAGGAGCCTAACTGTATGCACACAATCCACAAACAGCATCCCCATACATTCAATACCACATACAGCCACACACAAATTGCAAGCAGCATTCCCACACATGCACATAGGGTTCCTTACACACACACAACACACACAATTATTACAATCACTTATATAGCATGAACATATTCTGCAGAGATGTACAATAGGTAAAACAAGACAAACTATTCTTTCTAACACAACACATTGACATACAGGAACACAATATCACAAGCAGCATCCCACATACACAACCCCACAAGGGGTTATAGTTCCCTAGTCACCATTTAGGTGACCATGCCCCCACTTGCAGGAAGAAAAAAAACAAAATGTTTCTTTTATCTTTTGCCCCTCGCAGTGCTGTTCTTAGGAGTTCTGCATCGCCTCTTTGACTGAGATCATCGATGATCTCTGCCAATCCAAAGCATTCCTGTAGGAAAGCATTGGGAGTCTAATGTACATGCACGGCAAAATGCCATGCTGTGCCAATCAGACTGTCTCTCTGAAGCCATATGATTGAAATAGTAGAGTTTTATTCCACTATTTTGCGGCAGCACCACTATTGGCTGCCAGTATGACATTATGTCAGTATGATAGCCACTTGAGGCAAGTTAACCCTGCAATGACTATATTGCCATTCTTGCAGAATGACAGTCTTTTCAGCTGCAAGGTTAAAACAGGGGGACATAGTACCCAGACGACTTTATTATGATGAAGTTATTTGGGTGCCTATAGAGACACTTTTAATTTAGGAGCGGAACAACAAATACAATACAGGAGATTCCATGAGAGTGTAAGGTACACAAATATTATAACTGAGAAGGAATTCTTAAATGGGTACTTTCCCAGGATTTTTAATATTCTGATTTTCTATCCCCCATATATTGGTTTTAGGTGACCTTTAAATGTTTTATTTAATAGTAAAATTTCCAGAGAATTGATAGTTCTGCTTTAAGTGCATTAACTAATGCAAGTGTAAAACAAGGGGTAATGAAAAGGTAGACCCCTTTGACGTTGTAGAACTACATACCCCATAATGCTTTGCCAGCATTGCTTCTAAAATGCTTACATATACACTTCTGACTGCACCATTCCTGGTTTCATAAGACAATTTGTACCATCTATTTTCTTTCAGATGTAACCTCCCGCCTATTTGGGGTAATGTTACTGCTGATGTCGGGAATAAAACAAATCTTGTAACAGTTAATCCAAGCATTATAGCTCTGAAGTAAGTATCTCCTGTGATCCACTTTATAATGGGCATAACAATCTGTAATGATGAATAGAGCGTTCATGCACAGTTTTCAAATTTCTTTCACAATCATATCTGTCATTGACCTATTGACCATATGAGAATCCTGATATAAACTGTGCAAGGCTGCTTTTCATGATCTTTAAACTATGGAAATCCAACAGTATTTTATTTTTGCACCATTGTAAATTGCTGATCGACCAATCGGGAAGAGATTTTAAAACACACCCGTCACTTGTAGGGTCATTACATGTTACCTCCTCCAAGTTACATACTAAATAGTGGGCACTTGAGGGAGAGATGTTCTCTCCTAAGTGTCCCTTCCTCCTCTTTGCCTCCTCCAAACATCTTTTGCTACGTAGAATTCTACAGATTCCTGGGATAGTCCTTCAGGTCACAATAACTTCTGAAACAGTGCTTAACTGTTTCTGCATCATGACCTCGGTAACAGTAGAACAGCCCAGAATGATAGATGAAACATTAAATGATGGTTTCTAATGATAAGTTACCATAACTGAACTAACCAAGGAGGCCAACACATTTCATTAGCAAAATAATGGAGGCACGTTGTATAGACAGTAACTTTTCACAGAGCTCCACAGCATGTGCAATTGTTGTTTTCAACTTTAACTAAGAATAGAAAATGAAAGTAGACATTTAAAAAATATTTTTCCCCAGCATACTAGGAACATCATTAATGTAATAATATATTAATATTATTTTCATTATATTGCAGTTAAAGAAAAACTGTCACCTCAAAACTATTTCTAACATAACCCTTTCATCAAGATTTGAAAGGAAATATATATTTTTATTAAAATGAAGTAGATGTAAACAAAATTAGAAACACTCATCCCTACCTTTAGTAAATGATAGGATATTTCAACAATATACATAAACCTTGGGTCATCTTCCTTGCTCCTCTGTAGGGGGCAAAGCAGGGAAGATCATAGAGACTAGCAGGTGGTTATCAAACACTGAACAAATTAAGGTGCATGTATATGGCTGAAGATCCCTGAGCCTCACGTGCAGATATATGCATTCTACACTAGAACCACATAATGAATTTGTAAATATGTACGTGGCTTGTTAATCAAGTATGTCATTGAGACATGTATTATATTTATGTGAACTAAATATTATGTTTTTGAAGCACACTGGCTCAATGTCTGCAAAAAACAAAAGTGAGTGCCTAGTGGGAATAGCTCTTTTACAGATGTGCCACATACACCAATTCTGGAGAATGATTGTGTGCCCAATTCATGAGCCATGTAGACCACACAACCTTACTGTATTATCTTGAACTGTGTTTAAATTGTATTAAAATGCTATGTTTGTCAAATCTATACTGAAGCTTTATTTTGCTTCTGGTAAGCAGGCTCTCAGCTGTAAATCTTTGTTTACTCATAAAAACATATTGATTGATTTTGATTTATTGTTACAGATATGGAAAACTCAATGAGATGAAAACAGCCTTTCTAAAGAACCTCAGCAGCTACGGTTATTCGTTTCTTCTGTTACCAGCATTTTCCTACAGCAGCAATACTGCAATTTCTTTTGAGGTACATCGTGTTTTAAAGAAATACCAAGCTAAACAGCGTGCAATATTTTTTCACCCCAACTATCTTAGAAGCCTGGCGCAGTTTTGGAGAGGTCGAGGGGTGAGAGCGTATCGCCTCTCCACAGGATTCATGATCACCAGTGCAGCCATAGAACTTTGTGAAGATGTCAAATTATACGGATTTTGGCCTTTCTCCAAAAACCTAGACGGAAAACCGATTAGTCATCATTATTATGACAACCAATTGCCAAAACCGGGGTTTCATGCCATGCCGAAAGAATTTTATCAAGTCCTACAACTACATTACAAAGGGGTTCTCAAACTTCAAGTTGGTGAGTGTGAAAAGAGGTGAGGAGGACAGGCCACCTAACTGCATTTTAAACTTGACTCTCGTCAACTTCAACTTTGCCAGTTCTGTCTCCGTGGAACGTTTGTCTGGGGCAAATCTGAAAGAATGAATTGACCTTTAATTCATTTTCCTCTTCAGTACTCTGCTACATCATCTTTACATTACTGCGGTGGAAATCATACAATTTAATAACTTAATTGCTGCTGGAATTGTTAACTGTTTCATAGCTGTTCATATATGGAAAAAAAATTATACCTACCCTAGCAAGAGGATATATATATATTTTACAGTGCACTTACGATGCTTGGGAATTTGGGTAACATATTTTATCGTTTAGATCTCCTACTGTGCTTTTGTGTGTGACACAAATGTTCTTTGAATTGCCAACCAAAATGTTCATATATTGATCATTTTACTGTATGCCTGTGCTTGTTTTCTTTATAATGAAGAGAACAAACGTGTAGTTTATTTAAATATAAGAAAACTCAGGAACTTTGAAATTAGATTAATGTTTACAATTTTTTATGTTAAAATGAACTGGACAACTTTGATCACATAGTTCAAATGTTTAAAATAATATCTAAAGGGAAATGGAATGTACTAAAAAAAGGTCTTAAAATACCACATTACAAAGTACCATGTAATTAATTCTTAATAAGACAGATGTGTTACTATTCTCAAGAAAAAAACAAATGTAACGTTTTCATGTTTGTAAAGAACTTTGGCCTTGATTTAATTTGATGAGCATCAGAAATAATCACACTCAGGTCTGAGTTTAATAATCTTTCCAAATAATTCAATAACGTTAAAAAAAAAAAAATCCAAGTGAATTATCTACAGAAATTACCATTAAAATCTATTGTAGATTTTCTAGGTGAAATCATTTGAAAAACATTTCTTATAGATTGTGTTAATTTATGATGCTGATCCAAACAAATTAAATTCAGGCCTTTGTTAGCTAAAAAATATTTATCTGCTATCACCTGACTACAACTCCCTGTCTAGATAATCTCCCCTCTCCCCACCCCCCAAAAAAAATCACTTATTCTCGATGGGTGATTCACTAAACTGTGAGTTGAAACAGACTTGGAAAATTTGGACTTATAAATTCAAGGTAGAATAGATTTGTATTCTACACATTGTACATTTTCTTAATTTGGCTATTTCATCCTATATTTTGCACATTATCATCAACTCACCCTTTAGTGAATAGACTCCTTAGAGTTTCAAAACCCAGGCCATGACAGCCACAGAAACATATTACCATAATAATAGCATAATGCCTGGTGGTATATAATAACAAGTGCATGTTAATTACAGAAATAAAAAAAAAATATATATATATATATATAAATATATATATTTAGCAAAATGTCAGATTACAGCCCTTTAGGACTGAACATCACATTCCTAATGTAGGCCTCCATTTAATATTGTTGTATAATTTGTTCAAATGATTTAATGTTCAGATGATCTTTTTTTTAAAAAAAAAAGTTGAAATGTAAAATAATACACCGTATATAACTTATATTTAGAAAAAATAAAATATTGAAATACTGATTTTTTTTTTCTCAAAAAATTAGGTAAATTTAAAAGTTTATCCAAAAACATTAAATTGCAGCATTATGTACCAAAGAAAACATAAGGAATAAATGTCATCGTTTACAAACAAATGCCAAATGCAAACTAATTTTAAATAATAATCAGCTAATATAGAATATTAGAGGATTTAGATTATCTTAATATCTGCAGGTAAAATATTTGACAGGAGATAAACTGAGATGTAAGCTTCCAAGTTAGGACTAAAACTCCAAACTTTCCCTTTTTTATAGCATTTTTTTTTTTTTTTGGAGCTTTTCCAAAGGTTTACAAATTCTCACTGTCACAATTATACCAGGAAAATGATAAGAAAAGAAAAAAAAATGGTGCAAACATATTTAAGTATTGCCATCTTGTCTGTGACACTTCTGCAATATGTTGATAATTTAATAATTGGTTTATAAATATGCACAAATTGTGAATAAAGAGTGATTTTATAAGAATATATTTTTTTCTTCAATTTGCACTGGTTCTTATTTTGAATTTTGCATACACCATAAGAACTTGATAACATGATACCCACTATGTGAAAATGCATGAACAAAAACTATGAAGAGTAGAATAAGTTTGTAAATTAGATTATACTGTGAAATATATATATATTTTTTTTCTACATGGGGCTTGTTGCAAACCAAAGTGATCAGTATATTTCCGACAAGTGATGAGGTGGGCAGGTAGTGAGGTCATTCAAAAGAAAAATGACAATGGTCACATGCTAACTACTTACTGAGTTTAGTTTTTTTAGAAAATAAGAAATGTTCCTAGCATTTTAAAGAGTCGTCCACAAAACTCAGGGGTTTACTCCCTTAATTTTGACTAAACAGTAAAAAATGTGGATCATTCAAAAGTAAAATTACATTTTTATTCCATCTTATAGTAAAAAACATTAAAAAGTTTATGGAAAAACATGTTGCTAATCACAACACCCATACACATATAGGATGGATTTTTTTTTCCACAATTTTGTAAGAATGAACGTAAATTTAAGTATTAACTTGTATGTATACTAATAGTCTAAATCTCTATCAATAATGCCATAAAGTGTTCAAAAGGGGCCAGTATAGCACTGAAACAGAAATTGTTCACTTTCCCTGTATTACCCCAAACCAGTCACTAGGGGTCTCTGTTTTATAAGTACGTATTCCTATGGTAAACTAACATTTTAACTTGCAGATGGAAACATGATAAATAAAGTCACTATATTAACCACTTTGCGACGCTAGACAGAAATTTTCCGTCATGCTTGCCCTTCGGTTAAGGACACGTGATGGAACATTTCCATCATTTACTAAAGTTAACCCCAGACTGCCGAGATCGCTGCGTTAACGCTTCTCTGGTCTGCCTCGGTATCCGAGACAGACCTGGAGTACCCGATGCGCTGTCCCTGCAGCTGGGATAGCTCTGTGATCGCTCTGACAGACCAATCCGCCTTCCCACGCTTCCGCGTTCAGTGTGAAGTGCAGGGAGACGGATCAGCAGTGATCTTCTCCCTGTAAAAAAAAAAAAAATTATTAAAGTTAAATCCCACCCCCTTTACCCATTTAAAATAAAAATGAACCCCTTCCCTGCCAATTGATCGATGACTACAGTGATCAATTGGCAGGTACTACTATTTATTGTGATTTTGTTAGGGGTTAACGTTAAAAAAAGTTTTTAAAAAAATCTTTACAAAGTTTAAAAAAGTTTACATTCTTTTTAATAACGTTTAAAAAAACTCTCACCCCCCTTTACTCAGTCCTAATAAAAATGAACCCCTTCCCTGTCAGTTGACCACTGCCTACAGTGATCAAAATACAGATCACAGTATCATAATATGATCTGATTTTTATTTATTTTTAACCCCTGAGGGTTATCTTTTATTTATTTATTAACCCTCAGGGGTTCAATTTATTTCATTAATTAATTTAAATATTTTAAAATTATATATTTTACTAGCTGGGGTGGGTGGGAGTTATGGGAAATTGGGGAAATTACTGTAAGTGCTGCTTACTGCTTGTTAGGAGTTAACAGTAAAAAAAGTTAATAAAAATTTTAAAAGTGTAAAAAAGTTTTAAGAAAGTTTTAAAAAGTTTAAAAAATTGAATATGTAAAAAAAGTTTAAAAACAAGTTTTAAAAAGTAAAAAAAAGTTTAAATATAGCCTGCTAAAATACTCCAAAATGGGACATGGACACAGCGTAAAAATTCAAAGTTTGAAAAAAACTGGAATGGCTGTGTCTCAAATGTGCCCCTTCAATGTCCAAATATACCTGGCAAAGGTACATACGGGGGTATTGCTGTACTCAGATGGCATAGGTGAGCAACATATGAAGTATTTTACAGCTGTAGCACACATAAGGTTTGCAAAATATACTGTGCAAACTCACTTTGTGTGTCAAAAAGGCAGAAGAAAATGCTTATTGTCAATACACTTGGTACAAGCTAGTGGAAAAATGATCCCACACTAAGCTTCAAATTATGCTTTTTGAAATACCCTGGGATGTCTTCTTTAAGAAATGGTATGCCTTTATGGTGTAGTTGGAATATGTAGTCTGCTAAAGTGCTCCAAAGTGGGACATGGACGCATCAAAACCCTCCATGAAAATTCACACTTAAAAACCTGAACTTGTCATGTCTCTTTTACAACATTGTAACTTCACAAAATAGTGCCTAGGTCATACATTGAGCATATTGTTTTACTCAGAAGATGTAACTGAGCATAATGTGGGGTATTTTATGACAGTGGCACATATCAAGTGTAAGAGATACTCAGAATAAAATGCAACATGTATGTAAAAATTACATTTTTTTTCTCCTCACCAGTTAATGCCAATGGTGACAAGTTAAGGCACAATATATGCTATATAAGATACCCTGCAGTGTCTGCTTTATCAAATGGAAGCCCTTTGTGGGGTTATTTGAACAGTCAAACTGCTCTAATACCCAAAAATGAGACATAGGCCGTCAAATCCATCTATGAAATTCTAACTAAAGAAACTGAAATAGCCTTGTCTCTTATATGGCATTGTAGCTTCACAGAATAGTGTCAAAGGCATACAATGGGGGCATCATTATACTCAGCAGATGCAGCTGAATACAATATGGGGTTCTGTGCAGGAATAGCACACACCAGCTTTCCAAAATACACATTACAAAAACCTTGTTATATGTGTATATGCCAAAATAGAGAAAAAAATATAATTTTACTCCAATATTTAGCAGAGATTGGCGATGAAATGGCTACGTAAAAAGGGATTCTCCAGTGGCAGGAAAACACCTTCAGTGCTACTAGTATGTACAATAATGTCTTCTAAAGTAACCTGCAAAGAATTGCTAAACGTGATCCAAGCCTTTTTTTCTGGCTGCTTGAATGTAGCTGTGAAGTTTTACCTACAAAAAATTGCAGTAGAGTGGTAAGCTGCCATTTACAGACTTTGCACAATGCTGTGATGGATGTCACCTATTTTGGCCCTAAAATAGAGGTAATGAATATCTGGACGTCCTCACTGATTTTCCAGCCATATAGAACCGTTTTACTAGAAATAATACGAGTAAATAAAAAGAAAAAGAAAAAATTTATAATAAAAGTCTACACACTCGACACGTTTTACCTGCTACACCAGGATCATCAGGAGTGCCCAAACTAGATATCTTAATCGGGCATTTAAATATCCTGCCCCTATTACTGATTTATTCATTGAGTCATGTGATCGCTCCATAGCAATGAAGAATGGCAAAATCAGACATAATTCTAATTTCAGTGTCTCCTAAATCAATCAGTAGCTCTTGCCCAATACTAGTAACCATTGCTAACGGGCTCATCAGCCCAAAGCAATGTTTGGCAATATCAACAATACTTATAATAGAGAAAAACCTATATGGATGCTGAATTAGTGTAAGACGATAGTGTTACATGGGGTGTGTGTAATGGGAGAGGTTGAATGACTAACTGGGAAGTGGGCATGTGTAGTTATTACATAAAGCAACTTTTTGGCTCCAAGCCTAAGCTTTTCCAAAATGTTATAATAAACTGGGGCCACCAGAAAAGATTCTCTTTAGAGTGTCATCTAATCTGAATTTTAAATGCAGAGTCCAGTACGTGATTACCTACAAGGTCACCCACCTCGGGTGAGTCCTGCCTAAGGTCCAGTCCTAAATTTCAGATTTACACTGGTTGGTATCATCAGATGATCTTTTATTTTATAGAGCAACAGACATTGTCTGGAATCCAGAAACATGTAATTTCTTAGGGAAATGTGGAATGGGATTTAATCCCCAAACTTTTTTCCCTTTGGTTTGTAATTACATTACATAGTTACATAGTTACATAGCTGAAAAGAGACTTGCGTATATACAGTTCAGCCTTCCTCACATATGTTTTTGCTGTTGATCTAAAAGAAGGCAAAAAAAAACTAGTATGAAGCGCCTATAATTTTGCAAAAACTAGGAAAAAATCCTTCTTGACCCCAAAATGGCAGTCAGATGTCTCCTTGGATCAAGCAGCTATTACCCCACTAATTAGAAATGATATCCCTGTATGTTATGTTTTTGCAAGTATTTATCCAATTGTAGTTTAAACATCTGTATGGACTCTGATAAAACCACCTCTTTAGGCAGATAATTCCATATTCCATATTACGATGAACTATGAATCTGTTGCTCTTTTTGCACAGGCCTGTCACTGCTCCCTCACATTGAAATGTGAAAGGAGCTTGATGAGATTCTATTCTTGTGGAATACCCACCAAAATCCTTCTCCATACCCCATAGAGAGATAAATGACCTGAGGGGTAACAAGATTTCTGTGGTTGACACAAATGTACCAAGTCCAAAATGTAAGAGGGCAGGGAATGAGTATACTGGCCTTTTCAGGAACAGCTTTAATTGCTGTAGGGATCTATGTATAAAGTGGATGCAGAAATTAAATGTAACCACTGAGAGTCTCATCTGGATACCGCTATATACTCTAGCTGCAACGTAAGAATTGTGCATTGGTGAAACCTGCGGAAAGAGAGATCTGCTGAGTTGTGTAGGTTGTGTAGCTCTAAGCAGAAATTATGTATAAAAGGCATTTAGAGTGCTTTATTTATGACTGTCCTGAAGGTGGCATCCACTTCCCCTTTTTAACCAAATAACAAAAAACTGGATGGACTCCATTGCATTCCATGTTAAAAAAAAAAAACAACTCAAACTATTGCAATATATCTCTGGCAGTAGGCTGCATTCTGCTAGATCATCTTTGAGTCAAAGTGTAAAACTGTATTTTTTTCTCATTTTGTGACAAATTACTATTGTAAAATAAACATTATTTAAATAGATAATTAATTATTGTAGTTGACGGCTAACTTAGACAATGATGATTGCATTGCTATAAAAAATTATCAATTGAATCAGTACTTTGGGCCCAAAATGCTTTTTTGTCATTTACTATACATAGCTGGGGTTTAAGT